TAGGCAAAGAGGAGGTTCACTAGCAGCAATGAGGATACATATAGCAAACCCTAGATGGGTTGTACTCGCTATAGAGCACCCCACTACAGGCTAGAGAATAACATTCTGACACACCCCCATAGCCAAAGTGGGGTGTAATCAGTACAATGAGCAAGCAGGTAGAAAGCAGGTTCACAAGTGCAAGCAAAGCTAGAGGCATTCACAAAGGGCAAGTGAGGAGGAGGAGGAACTGTGGAAGGAGTGAAGATGAGAGGCGACGGCTGAAGCTGCAGACACACGGGCAACAGGAGTCAAACTGGCACAGTGGCTACCGGAACAGCGCCCCGGACTACAGGAGTAACTGGCTCCGCGGCTAAGAAGAGCGGCAGACGAGCAACGGACCCACGGGCGACTGGCGCAGCTGGCTACGACTGGGCTACCGGAACAGCGCCCCGGACTACAGGTGCTGCTGACGACAAGACGGCAGCCTCCGCTCAACCTCCCCCGACCGTCCCACGCCCCTCTCACACACCCCCTGCTGACACCCTAGCTCCACTTCCACGGCACCCCCCTTAAACCCTAAACCTCGGCTCCCACACATCCACCCCCCTCAGCGGCAGCTGCAGCAGTGGGAGACGGAGGAGGAGGAGGAGCAGGGGACGGCGCACACACACGGCACCCCCAGAGCTGCCACCCCCACACTCCGCACCCCAAAACCCTAAAAACGGGCGGAACGGGGGAAGGAGCGCGGGGGACGGCGAGGGGGACGGCGCTCGGCCCCCAGAACGCGACCACGGGGCAGAGAGGGGCCGCGCGCGGCTCCCCAGGGCGGCGCGACGGGAAATCGGGGCCGCGGGGGGGTCGCGCGCGGCTCCCCAGGGCGGCACGACGGGAAATCGGGGCCGCGGGGGGTCGCGCGCGGCTCCCCAGGGCGGCACGACGGGAAATCGGGGCCGCGGGGGGTCGCGCGCGGCTCCCCAGGGCGGCACGACGGGAAATCGGGGCCGCGGGGGGTCGCGCGCGGCTCCCCAGGGCGGCACGACGGGAAAACGGGGCCGCGGGGGGTCGCGTGCGGCTCCCCAGGGCGACGGGATCGCGGGGCCGCGGGCGACGGGACCGGAGGGCCGCGGGCGACGGGATCGGGGGGCCGCGGGCGTCCCCCACGGTAGGAAACCGCCGTGCGCCTCGGTGCGCACGGCGGGGAGAAAACCGCCGCACGCCCCGAGCGCGCGGCGGGATGAAAATGTGAAGGTCGCGCGCCACGGGGCGCGCGACACTGAGTAGGGCAGCGGAAGCAGCAGTGGGGCCCACAGGCCAGGAGCGTGAAGGCTCTGATACCATGTCGTGAGAGTAAGCATAAGCAGGAGCCATAGCTAGGAGAACCCTAGCTAGGCAAGAGAAAGTTTAGGCAAAGAGGAGGTTCACTAGCAGCAATGAGGATACATATAGCAAACCCTAGATGGGTTGTACTCGCTATAGAGCACCCCACTACAGGCTAGAGAATAACATTCTGACACCTCCTGCTCTGAATACCATATCAGAATAGCTAGGCAAGAATGGTTGAACTAGCAGAAGTTTGGGTACAAATATGAAACCCTAGTTGGGGTTGTACCCCATATTGGCTACCCCACTACAGCCTACAAGCATAATACAGTTTAACAGATAGCGGGTCGCTAGCTGGTGTGGAGGTTCCCGTACCCGCCACGTCTACCGACGTAGAGGAGACAGCTCTGGAGCAGTCATCTACGGAGAACGGGGTAGACACTGTTGATCGTCCAGTCGTGCTTCTAGGGAAGCTTCGCGGAGTTCCTGTTAGGATTCTCGTAGATAGCGGATGTGAGGATCGAGGATCGAGTTCAGAATCGAGAATGAGAATTGATTGATCACCTGGGTACAACACGAGGCTATATATAGGGCTCGACACAAAGGTGGTAACCAGGTGTTACGAGAAGGTTCTGCGGGTCGCGAAGCGTCCCGAACAGACCCTTCCCGAATTCGGTAAAAATCAGTTCGGTGGCAACCGAATAGCTCCGAATTCGGTGTAACCTAGCACGGTGCATATAACTATATAAAATATAGGAAAGCACCTAGCCTAGGAATCAAGCAATTCATGCATGCATAAAATAATCCTAAGCTAGAAGTAGCGTAAGGAAATAAAAGCAAGCATGAATAACAAGCATAAGCCGTCGTACTCTCACACGTCCCCCCCTCAAAGCTGGGTGGCGTGGGAGACACCCTGCTTGATAAGATAGTCCTTGAGAGCACGGCGTGCGTTGCCCATATCAGCTTCTGCAACCCAACTGTCCTCAGTGGGGTCATATCCCTTCCAGCGTATCAGGAACTCGAGGGTCTTGCCGCCGCGGCGCCGATGAGTGAGAACACGCTCGATCTCGTACTCGGGTTCATCCTGCACAAGAACAGGTGGTGGTGGCGGTAGCTGCCGTCCCTGGAACTGTTGGTTGGGGTCCTTGTAGGGCTTCAGTAGCTGAACATGGAAAGCGTTGTGAAGCTTCCACGTATCTGGTAAGCGCAAGCGGAATGTAACTGGTGTCACCTGTGCCTCCACGAGAAATGGACCACAGAAGCGAGGCCGGAGTTTGGATGGTAGGTGAGACAGGTTCAAGTTGCGCGTGTCGAGTGTCAAACTTATACACTATAGTCTGTGTAGGCTGTAGTGGGGTAGCTCATATGGGGTACAACATTCTAGGGTTTGGTACTTGTACTCCTCATGCTGCTCAATGCATCCATTCTCGTTCCAATTTTCACATGGTATAGAGCAGGTTCCCTCGTGGGAACTGTTCCTAGGGCCCACCGTAAGATTTTTTTTTTCCTGCCCGGAGCGCGCTCCGCCCCTGCCCGAGTCGCGCTCCCCTCCCCTCGCTTCCCTTAGCGGCCCCGTCGCGCCGCGCTTCCGGCCCCGGCGCCGCCTCTGCTGGCCCCGGCGCCCCCCTGTCGCGACCCCGCGGCCCCACCCTCGCGTCGCCCTGCGCGGCGTCGTTACAGCCGCCCGCGACCCCGACGCCGCCCGTCGCGACCCCGTCGCCCTTCGCGCCGCCCGCGACCTCGTCGCCGCGGCCGCCTGCGACCCAACCGCTGCAGCCGCCCGCGACCCTGTCGCCGCAGCCGCCCGCGACCCTGCCGTCGCCGCCGCCCGCGACCCTGCTGTCGCAGCCGCCCGCGACCCTACCGTCGCCGCCGCCCGCGACCCTGCAGTCGCAGCCGCCTGCGACCTCGTCGCCGCGGCCGCCTGCCCTCCCGTCGCCGCAGCCGCGCGCGACTCCTGTGGTCGCAGCCGCCCGCGACCCCCCGCCGCCCCACCCGTGCGACCCCACCGCCGCCCTTTGCGGCCCCTTCGCCATCCCTTCGCGGCCCCGCCGAGCAGCCGCGCCGCCGAGACGCCGCCGCCGCCGAGCCGCCGAGCCGCCGAGCCGTCGAGCCGCCGAGCCGCCGAGCCGTCGTTGCCGCCGAGTTGCCGAGCCGTCGAGCCGCCACTGCCGCCGTGCTGCCGAGCCGCCGAGACGCCGGTGCCGACGAGCTGCCGAGCCGCTGAGCCGCCGAGCCGCCGTTCCTGCCGTCCCGGCCCTGTTCCTGCCGACGCGCCTCGGTCCTTCTCGCCTGCCCGGTAAGAGCAGCGCCTCCACCACTGCTCTGCCCTAGCCTGCTGCTCTCACTGCTAGTCTACTGCTGTCATGGCTTCCCCCAGTGTCCTCACTTTTGACGCTGAGGGTCGGGCCATTGACTTTGACGTCTGGGTAGATGACCTGCAGCTTTTCCTACTGAGCGACAGAGCAGACGGCCTCTCCCTTTTTGACCTCACCTCTGGTGCCTCTCCTGCCCCTGCTGCTGATGCTGACCCCACTGTTCGCTCCCAGTGGGCCACACGCGATGCTGCTGCCCGCCTTGCTGTGCGCCGCCACTTGCCGACCTCTGAGCGTGCGCACTTTAGCCAGTACAAGAGTGCTAAGACCTTGTACGATGCTGTAGTTGCGCGCTACTCTTCCCCTGCCACTGCTGCGCTTAGCCGCCTTATCCTACCGTACCTCTTCCCTGACCTCGCCGCTTTTCCCACTGTCGCTGACCTCATTACGCACCTTCGCACTAGTGACACTCGCTACCGCGCTGCGCTTCCTGCTGAGTTCTGCGCCAAGAACCCCCCCCCCATGTACATCACCCTCTACTACATAGTCACCCGGCTCCCTGACACCCTTCGCCCGGTTAGGGACCACTTCCTCTCTGTTTGCCCCACCACCCTCACCGTTGACCTCCTCGAGGAGCGCCTGCTCGCGGCAGAGAAGAGCATAGTCGCAGTAGGTGCCTCTCGTGGTGACCCTCGTACCCCTGTCTTTGAGGGGTGCTCCCCCTCTCCCCTCTTGCCCTCTGTTGCCTCTGCTGCTGCGGCCGACCTCGTTGGTCTTGAGTCGGTCGCTGCGGCGTCTGCCCCTAGCGGGAGACGCCGCCCTGGCAAGGGCAAGGGGGGCAAGGGTGCTGGAGGGGCTGGAGGGGGCGGTGGAGGCGGAGGTGGAGGTGGTGGAGGGGGTGGGGGTGGCGGTGGGGGTGGTGGCGGGGGTGGGGGCGTCGGTGGCGGGACTGGAGGTGGAGGTGGAGGCGGCGGTGGCGGTGGGAGCGGAGGTGGCGGAGGTGGCGGTAGTGGAGGAGGTAGCGGCGGAGGCGGCGGAGCTGGTCGGGGTGGCGCTGCGCAGAGGGGTGGCTCCGGTGGTGGTGCGCGCCAGCAGCAGCAGCAGCAGCGTACCCGTGAGACCCCTTCCCCCCAGCAGCTTCGTGAGTGGTACGCTGCTCGTCAGCGGGGTGGGGGTGCTGGCCCCTGCACCTACGTTCTCCGTACCGGCGACCGGGCGGGTGAGCAGTGTGGAGGCCCGCACCCCACCCAGCGCTGCTTCGGTCGGCTGACAGACGCGTGGCGCCACCAGTTCCCCGACGCTACGGAGATCCCTCGCTGGGGCGAGCTGTCTAGGGCGGGTGTTGCAATCTATGATCTTGACTTTGATGCTATTCTTGCTGCCATGTATGCTGTGACTATTAGTGATGAGGGTGACTGTTACCGGTGTTTCCCGCCTGACCCAGGCATAGAGGCTGCTGCGCTAGGTACTTGTGAGGCTGCTGCTCTAGGTGCCAGTGCGTCTGCTGCCCCAGGTGCCGGTGAGTTTGCGCTCTCAGGTGCTGCGTCGCCCCCGGACACCCACACCTTCACCCTTGACTCGGGTGCTTCCCGCTCCTTCTTTCGAGACTGCACCACTCTCACACCGCTCAGTCGGCCTGTTGCGGTCTCCCTAGCGGACCCCTCTGGGGGTCCTGTCCTTGCTCACTACTCCACTGTCCTACCGTGTCCAGCGGTCCCGTCTGGCTCCCTGTCGGGTCTCTACCTCCCCTCGTTCTCTACGAACTTGGTGGCGGGTGCTGACCTCCAGGATGCAGGAGTTGACCAGTTCACCCCTGCGCGTCAGCGGGTGACCCACTGCACTTGTGCGGACACGGGCCGCCACTTGGCCACGTTTGCTCGTCGGCCAGGGTCGAGCCTGTACACACTGACTACTGAGTCTTCCCCAGTCACTGAGTCTGCTCAGGTAGCCGCGTCGGGTCAGGTGTTTGCTGCGGCGTCCAGGTCTGGTCCTGAGTCTGCCCCCTGCTCGTGTCGTCTCCTGTCTCACCGGACTCTCCTCTGGCACCACCGTCTTGGTCACCCCTCCCTGCCTCGCCTTCGAGGCATGGCTTCCCGTCTTCTTGTTTCTGGTCTCCCCCGGTCCCTCCCTCCTCTTCCTCCGGGGCCTGCCCCCACCTGCGTTCCCTGCGTCGAGGGGCGGCAGCGCGCTGCTCCTCACTCCTCCGAGTTTCCTCCGACAGAGGCTCCGCTGCAGACGCTTCACATGGACGTGTGGGGCCCAGCCCGCGTCCGTGGGCAGGGTCAGGAGCGCTACTTCCTGCTGGTGGTTGACGACTACTCGCGTTACACCGCAGTCTTCCCCTTGCGCAGCAAGGGTGACGTCACTGAGGTGTTGATCGCCTGGATCCGCGCGGCTCGTCTCCAGCTCCAGGAGAGTTTCGGCTCCGACTTTCCTGTTCGGCGTCTGCACTCCGACCGAGGCGGAGAGTTCTCCTCTGACCTTCTGCAGACCTTCTGTCGCACACGAGGCATCCGCCAGACCTTCACGCTTCCGGACTCTCCGCAGCAGAATGGGATTGCTGAGCGCCGCATCGGCATGGTCATGGACGTCGCTCGTACGTCCATGATCCATGCGGCTGCTCCCCATTTTCTGTGGCCGTTTGCGGTTCGGTACGCGGCGCATCAGCTCAACCTTCACCCCCGGGTCTCCATGCCGGAGACCTCCCCTGCTTTGCTGTGGACGGGGAAGGTTGGTGATGCGTCGCGTTTTCGGGTCTGGGGATCTAGGGCGTTTGTCCGCGACTTGTCTGCGGACAAGCTGTCCTCTCGTGCTGTTCCCTGCGTCTTCCTTGGCTTTCCCCCTGACGCGCCAGGCTGGCAGTTCTACCACCCCACCTCGCGCCGTGTCTTCGCGTCCCAGGACGTCACCTTTGACGAGTCGGTTCCCTACTACCGTCTCTTCCCCTACCGCACTGCGTCCCTCCCTCCCCCGCCGCTCTTCCTTACACCAGGCCCCCCTCCGGTAGACCCCCTCCCCCCTCAGGGTCCTGCTCCCTCAGGTGTGTCCCAGGTAGATGCAGTTGAGCCAGTCGAGGTAGCTGTTGACTCTGGTACTGCTGGTGGTGCTGAGCCTGGGGGTGCTGGGTCTGGGGGTGCTGCGACTGGGGGTGCTGGGTCTGGGGGTGCTGCGACTGGGGGTGCTGAGCCTGGGGGTGCTGAGTCTCGGAGTGCGGAGCCTGAGAGTGCTGGACCTGCTCGTCCGGCGTCTGGTGGTGCTGAGCCTGGCGGTTCCTCCGGTGCTTCGTCCCGGCGGGAGCTGCTCTCTCCACAGGAGCTGCGTGAGTGGTTCGCCCGGCGCTGGCGACGTGCTGCTGGAGCTGGTGGTGCTGCAGGAGCTGGGGGTTCTACTGCTGCTGAGAGTGCTGGTGCCGAGGGTCCCAGAGGTGCTCGTACCGAGTGTACTGGAGCTGCTGACCCTACGAGTGCTCCTCCTGCTGGAGCTGGTGGTGCTGCTGGTGTTGCTGGCGCTGGAGCTGCTGGTGCTGCTGGAGCTGCTGGTGCTGCTGGTGCTGCTGGTGCTACTGGCGTTGGTGCTGCTGGAGCTCCTGGAGCTGGAGCTGCTGCGTCTTCGGGTGGTCCGGCTGGAGCTGGAGCTACTGGGGGTGTTGGCGCTGGGGGTGCTCCTGGCGCTGGTGCTGCTGGGGGTGCTGGAGTTGGAGCTGCTGGAGTTGCGGGTCTTCCTGGTGCTGGTGCTCCCGCTGGGGGCGCTGGTGCTGTTCCTGCTGGCACTGGTGGAGCTGCGCGGCCGTGGCCGTACTTTGTTCCGCTCCTTGAGCAGGTTCTTGGTCTTCCGTCCTCTCTTGGTCCTGCTCCTGCCTTAGAGTGTCCGCCTCCTGTCCAGTCTGAGTCACAGTTACAGCCACCTTCCCCGCTTCCTTCTCCTTCTCCCTACACTGGTCCTACTGGAGGTCTTGCTGAGCGTCGTGAGCCTGCGTCTCGCCCTGCGTCGCCTGTCCGTGCTGCTCGCACTAGTGGTCGTGGTTCGCGTCAGCGTCCTCCCCCTGTCCCCGGCACGCACCGGATGTCTCTGCGTCCTTCCACTGCTCCGCTGCGTGCCCCTTTGCCCTCTCCTCCAGCGTCCTCTCTTCCTGAGCTTCCTGACCCGGAGTCGGACTCCCTTCGTGCTGCGCGTCCTACTGTCACGCGTCTCCTTGCTACTGTCGTCACTGACCCTTCCTTTGAGTCTACTGCTGCGTCTGCCCTAGTTGCTGAGCTTGTCGACTTCGCTGCTCGCTGTCGCCTAGACTACGCTACCAGTCTCGTCGCTGAGTCTGAGTCTGTCTGTCCTCCGTCCGTCGGGGGTGAGTGTGCTCTTGGCACGGACGTCCTAGAGGACAGGCAGGAGGAGTTCCAGTGCTTGGCTGCTGTTTCACCTCATCTCGTGTCCATGCTGCTTGCCCCTGAGGGAGACCCGGATGCACTTGACATCCCGACTCCGCGCTCTTACGCGGAGGCGATAGAGGGTCCCTACTCCTCTCAGTGGCAGGCAGCCATGGACGCAGAGATGGCTTCCTGGAAGTCCACAGGCACCTACGTTGACGAGGTTCCCCCGCCTGGGGCGAACATCGTCAGTGGCATGTGGATTTTCAGGGTGAAGCGGCCGCCGGGTTCTCCGCCTGTCTTCAAGGCGCGTTACGTGGCTCGTGGTTTCAGTCAGCGGCAGGGAGTTGACTACTTTCAGACTTTCTCCCCCACCCCGAAGATGACCACTCTTCGGGTACTGCTGCACATAGCTGCTCACCGAGACTACGAGCTGCACTCTCTTGACTTCAGCACTGCTTTCTTGCAGGGCAGCCTTCACGAGGAGATCTGGCTGCGCCGCCCACCTGGCTTCACTGGGTCGTTTCCTCCTGGCACCCAGTGGAGCCTCCGGTGGCCAGTCTACGGTCTCCGCCAGGCGCCTCGTGAGTGGCACGACACACTGAGGACTACACTTGCGGCCCTTGGGTTTGCTCCTTCTACTGCCGACCCGTCGCTGTTTCTGCGCACCGACACTTCTTTGCCGCCGTTCTACATCCTTGTGTACGTCGACGACTTGGTCTTTGCTACAGCTGACACTGCTGGACTTGCCTACGTGAAGTCCGAGCTGCAGAAGAGACACACGTGCACAGACCTGGGTGAACTGCGCAGCTACCTTGGCTTGCAGATCACCAGGGACAGAGCACAGCGCACCATTACCCTGACTCAGTCACATATGGTGCAGCAGGTCCTTCAGCGCTTCGGCTTCACGTACTCCTCGCCTCAGGCCACTCCTCTGCCTACGCGCCACTCGCTCTCAGCTCTGCCTTCGGATGAGTCCGTAGAGTCGAGTGGCCCGTACCCAGAGCTTGTCGGCTGCCTCATGTACCTGATGACCTGCACTCGACCTGACCTTGCATACCCTCTTAGCATTCTGGCACGCTTTGTTGCTCCTGGGAGACACAGACCAGAGCACATGGCTGCAGCGAAGAGGGTGTTGCGCTACTTGTGCAGTACGTCGGGCATGGGGCTTGTGCTTGGAGGGCATAGTTCAGTGGTCCTCACTGGTCACGCAGACGCTTCTTGGGCTGACGACCAGGCTACGCAGCGGTCGTCACAGGGTTACACCTTCAGCCTTGGTTCCGGCTCTGTTTCTTGGCGGTCTACCCGCTCGTCTTCTGTTCTCGGCTCCAGTTGTGAGGCTGAGATCTACGCAGGGGCCATGGCTGCACAGGAGCTACGCTGGCTCACCTACCTGCTGACTGACCTGGGAGAGCCGCCTCGTTCTCCTCCAGTGCTGTACGTAGACAACAAGGCCATGCTGGCCTTGTGTCATGAGCACAGACTGGAGCACAGAACGAAGCACATCGCTCTCCGCTACTTTCTTGCTCGTGAGCTGCAGCAGCGTGGTCAGCTGCGCCTTGCTTACGTGGCCTCTGAGGCCAACACTGCTGATATCTTCACTAAGGCACTCGCGCCTTGTGATCATCAGCGCTTCTGCACTCTGTTAGGTCTTGTACCTACCTTGCCTCACTTGCTTACTTCTTGACCTTGCTTGTACTGTTACATATATATACCTGCCTGTTTAGCTTTATATATATGTGACCTTGCATGTGAACTGGTCTTATGGCCTTGAACTTGTGCTCAGACTGTGTGGTGACGTTGTGATCCACCCTGAGCTTGCTTTGCCTTGCTTTGCTTGACTGGTCTTGTGACCCCTTGTTCTCCTCCACTTTGCCTATGGGGGTGTGTCAAACTTATACACTATAGTCTGTGTAGGCTGTAGTGGGGTAGCTCATATGGGGTACAACATTCTAGGGTTTGGTACTTGTACTCCTCATGCTGCTCAATGCATCAATTCTCGTTCCAATTTTCACATCAAGAAGCACCTGATCTCCGACTGCTACTGAGTGATCTCGTCGCTGACGATCGGCATACTGCTTCTGGGAGTTCTGCATCGTGGTGAGACGCCGCTGAGTCTTCTCCCATAGCTGCTGCATGGTGGTGACGAAGTCGTGTGCGGCTTGGACGTGTGCCGGTGTGGTTGGCTGTTGTGGTGTGAGTGGTTCCCGTCCGTAACACAGGAAGAAATGAGTTTTTCTTGTGGCCGCATGTGAGGCGTTGTTGTAAGCGAACTCTAGGGTCGGTAACTGTGTGTCCCAGTGGCTGATGTCATCTTTGCAAGCTGTGCGCAGTAACTGTTCAACCACTTGATTGAGTCGCTCTGTCTGTCCGTCAGTCTGGGGGTGGTACGCTGAAGACATCGCAAGCTTAGTCCCCAACAGTCCCATAAGCTCCGTCCAGAACTTACTTGTGAATTTGGGATCTCTGTCTGAGATGAGTGTAGCGGGGATGCCGTGGATGGTGATGATGCGGTCGAAGAAGAGTCGAGCAGTTGCTTCAGCTGTAGCTGTGGCGTTGGTCGGTATGAAGTGACCCATTTTGGAGAACTTATCGATGACTATGATGATGGAATCGTGTCCCCGTGAGGTCGAGGGAAGTCCCGTGATGAAGTCGAGGCTAACGACCTGCCATGGCTGCTCCGGTACGGGTAGAGGCTGAAGTAACCCTGCTTTTTTGTTTTTGCTACTCTTCATCCGCTGGCACGTGTCGCAGGAGGTGACGAACTGCTGCACGTCTGCTGCCATCCGAGGCCAGTAGTAATACTTCGCTATTCCCGCTAACGTCTTGTTGCTCCCGAAATGTCCCGCGTATGGTACGTCATGAAACTCCTCCAATAGGATCTGCCGTAGCGGGGCGTAATTCGGTACCCAAATCTTTCCTGAACCCTTCCTTACCGCTAAGTCTTTCTCCCACTGTAACAGCTTCTGTTTCTCTGCCGTTGCGATCTCGCCGTCCACGGAGTACCCATGTTGGAATAGACCCTTGAGTAGAGGGTTCATCCCGTCGAGCTGGATGCCTGCTACATGACCTGGGCGGCTCAACGCGTCAGCCTTGTTGTGGAGCCCGGGTTTGTAGACGATGTCGTAGTGGAAGTGAGTTTCCAAGAAATCCACCCACCGCACCTGTCGTCGTGAAAGCGTCGGCTGCGACTTCAGGTATTTGAGACTGCAGTGGTCAGTATAGACTGTGGTCTTGGCTCCCTCAAGGTAACACCTCCACGCCTTAAAGGCTACGACTATAGCTAAGGCTTCCTTGTCGTGAATGGGGTAGTTCAGTTCTGCTCCGTGTAGCTTCTTACTGAGGTAGGCGATAGGCTGTAAACCGTTCCCGTGATCCTGCATCAGTACTGCTCCGACTGCCTGGTCACTAGCGTCTGCTTCAACTACGTAGTCCTTTCTGGTAGGATGAGTACTGGCGCTGTGGTCAGTGCTGTCTGTAGCTGTTCCATGGCTTGCTGATGAGGAGCACCCCATTTGAAGGGCGTGTCCTTTTTCAGTAGGTCGGTCAGTGGCGCTGCTATCTTAGCGTACTGCGGCACGAACCTGTTGTAGTAGTTGGCGAAGCCTAGGAACTGCTGCAACTCCTTCACGTTCTCCGGAACCTTCCACTTTTTAACGGCTTCGATTTTCCGCGGGTCCACGTGTACGCCCTCAGCACTCACCATGTGCCCGAGAAACTGCACCTTCTCTAGTGCGAAGTCGCTCTTTGACAGCTTCACGTAGAACTTGTTCTTCCGCAGGATTTCGAACACCTTCCGCAGATGCTCCACGTGCTCCTTCATGTTCTTGGAGTAGATGAGGATATCGTCCAGGTACACCACTACGCACTCGTCCAGCAGGGGCCGTAGGATGTGGTTCATCTCCGCCTGGAACGTCGCTGGTGCGTTGCAGAGTCCGAACGGCATCACCAAGTATTCGTAGGAGCCGTATCTCGTACGGAACGCCGTCTTGTGGATTGAGTTGTCCGCCATCTTGATCTGCCAGTAACCCGACCGTAAGTCCAGCTTCGAGAAGACTGTTGCTCCACGCAGTTGGTCCAGTAAGTCGTCTATGCGCGGTATGGGATATTTGTTCTTGACTGTCTGTTTGTTCAGTGCGCGGTAGTCGATGCACATCCGTAAACTGCCGTCTGGTTTCGGTGTGAAGAGAACTGGTGCGCCGTAGGGAGAGGTGGATGGTCGGATCAGTTGTCTGTCCAGTAGATACTCGATCTGCTTCTTCATGTCTGTCAGCTCGGTCGGACTCAGTCTGTAAGGTGCACGTGAGACGGGTTTCGCACCTGGTTCCTCCACGATCTCGTGTTCGTGGGTGCGTGCAGGAGGTACGCCTGCAGGTAGGTCGTCGGGCATGATGTCTTTATACTGCTCCAAGACCTTTTTTACTGCTGCGGGTAGCTCGGAACCCGGCTTCTCCATCTGCTGCGTGTACTGTGTTACACTGCCGTACTGTTTATGCCGATGAATCTGCTGCCGCGCCATGTAGCTGGAATTGATCGGTTCGAAACGTTGAATTAAAGCTGCCCGAAACTGCGTCCATGACCCCTCGCCTCGGATCTCCTTACTGTTGTAAATCCACTCGAGCGCCGGGCCTCGTAACAGTGTTGCTGCGAGCCGAATCCTCATTGCATCGTGTGTCGGGGTCGTACAGCCAACGGCCTCGAAATAAATTTCGAGTGTCGCAATGAATCGACGGACGACGGCGTCTCTTGCATTTGGATTAAACGCCTCCGGTATCCTCGGACGTGCCGCCTCAAGATTCACTGTGGCTGCTGCTTGGTGAAGTGTCGGTGTCGCCGTTGCTGCTGCTACCGTCGCTGCTGCATTCGCTGCTACGTTCGCTGCTGCTGTGGCGGCTACCGACTGGTTCGCGAGGAGCTCCTCTAATCGCTGGAGTGCCGCTCGCATCTGGTCCAGGTCGGTGCGTAACTCCGTAATTTTTCGTACGGAATTCTCACCGTTTTCCTCCATTTGGCGATTTACAGGAAGATTTGCTATAGAAATAATTGAAAACTAGGCGCCGGTCGACTTACTGCGAATAAAATCGACTGTAGAAAGGACGAGCGCCGTTTCTTCTAGTCGCGTCATTCTCCCTTAAACGAAATTCGCGTCAGATCTCGGCCGTTCAGCTACAATTCGATCCGACGCCCCAAATTCCAACGTTATTGGGTGAAATTCTGAGGGCCGTTGATGTCGAAATCGATCCGACGGCTGAAATTCCAACTTTTTTTGCCAATGGACCTGAGGAGTGTTCGAAAAACCGGTTCGAGGGGGACGTGAAAAACTAGAGCGGAATTGGTTTACGTACCCGAAATCGGCGCGTTCGTCGTCGCCCCCGCGGTTTTAAAAGCTAGGATTTAGCGGTCGAAAAACTCGCGTGTAAACAGGCTCTGATTACCAAGTGTGAGGATCGAGGATCGAGTTCAGAATCGACACAAGGGAGGTAACCAGGTGTTACGAGAAGGTTCTGCGGGTCGCGAAGCGTCCCGAACAGGCCCTTCCCGAATTCGGTAGAAAGCAGTTCGGTGGCAACCGAATAGCTCCGAATTCGGTGTAACCTAGCACGGTGCATATAACTATATAAAATATAGGAAAGCACCTAGCCTAGGAATCAAGCAATTCATGCATGCATAAAATAATCCTAAGCTAGAAGTAGCGTAAGGAAATAAAAGCAAGCATGAATAACAAGCATAAGCCGTCGTACTCTCACAGCGGAGCTAGCCACTCGTTCGTGTCTTCATCGCTAGTCAGTCGTCTCCATCTCGAAGCGGATTCCGTAGTCACCTTCAAAGACGCGCGCATGGTAGATGGGACACCACTCAACATAGGGCCAATCATTCGCAAGTTGCGCGTAGTGCTAGGACCGATCACAGTTAGGCGTGATTTCGACTCTGCGACGCTGGACGGTTACGATTTCATCTTCGGGAGAGATTGGCTACGCACGGTTAGTACTCAGTTCGATTGGGCTCAGGGAAGCTGCAGCGTCAAGGTAGACGGGGAGTTCCGGGAGCTGCCACAGTGGAGCGATGGGGCCACATCCTCCACAGCTATCATTAATGCTGTTCGTGTGCGACAGTTAGTGAAGCGAGCGGCACGGATCTTCGCGGTTTTCCTTGAGGAGGTGGAAGCAGAGGAGGGGAAAGGAGGGAGTGCAGCAGTTAGTGAGAAGGCGACTCTTCCTGCTGAGGTGAGTGCACTGTTAGCAGAGTTCGCGGATGTCTTCCCCGACGAGTTGCCCCCAGGGTTACCTCCCAGCCGAGCAGTAGACCATCGAATAGAGTTGGAGCCGGGGAGCAGGCCAGTAGCGAAGCCGCAGTGGAGGTTGAGTTCAGCAGAGATAGGGGAGATGACGCAGCAGGTTAGGCACTTTCTCGCGCAGGGGTTCATACAGCCATCTAGATCGCCTTGGGCCGCACCGATCCTGTTCGCGCCTAAGAAAGACGGAGGGTTACGGATGTGCATAGATTACCGCGCACTGAACGCCGCCACCGTCAAGAATAGATTCCCGGTGCCGAGAGTAGAGGATCTTCTCGATGCAGTGCAGGGCGCTAGAGTCTTTTCCAAGATCGACCTTCGTTCGGGTTATCACCAAATTTGCGTAGTTCCAGAGGACCAGCACAAGACGGCGTTTCGTACGAAGCAGGGGTTGTACGAGTTTAGGGTCTTACCGTTCGGATTGACCAACGCCCCAGCGACGTTTCAGACGCTCATGAACACAGTCCTCTCCGAGTTCCTAGGTTCGTTCGTTGTCGTTTACTTAGGTGACATCCTGATATTTTCCAAGTCAAAAGAGGAGCACGTGCAGCACTTGCAGCGGGTCTTTGAGGTTTTGAGGAGGGAGAAGCTGTACGCGAAGCAGTCGAAGTGCGAGTTCTTCCTCCCCGAGGTCGAGTTTCTAGGTCACGTCGTTTCCGCTAGTGGCATTAGGACCGACCCGAAGAAGATCGCAGCAGTACAGGATTGGGTAGCACCGACCTCAATCAAGGAGCTGCAGAGCTTTCTCAGATTCGCAGACTATTACCGCCGTTTCGTTCAGGGTTACGCTTCCATCGCTAGTCCACTCACCGACCTACTTCGGAAGGGCGTAGAGTACGTTTGGGGTCCAGCGCAGCAGCAGGCGTTCGAGCAGATGAAGCAGTCGCTCACGTCTTCACCGACACTGTCGTACCCTGATCCCACTCGCCCGTACGTTGTAGTGACCGACGCTTCAGATCAGGCCATAGGAGCAGTACTTCTTCAGGACCAGGGACGCGGGTTGCAGCCGATCGCGTACGAGTCGCGTAAGCTGAGGGGAGGAGAGTTGAACTATCCGATTCACGACAAGGAGGCGCTAGCGATCATCCATGCGTATAAGGTGTGGAGGTGCTACCTAGAGGGGGCAGATAGTGTTATACGCACGGACCACTGTTCGCTTCGTTTCCTCAAGTCGCAGCCGCAGCTGAGTCGTCGCCAGGCTAGATGGATGGAGTTCATGGAGGGGAGTTTCCATTACAGGATAGAGTACAAGCCAGGCGTGCGCAACCCAGCAGATCCGCTCACTCGCCCTAGTTGCCAGCTCGCTAGTCTCACAGTCACTGCCGGCCATCCACTTCTCACAGCACTCTTCGAGCACGGTTACACAGTAGATCCCGACTTCACACCGCAGCCGCCCGCAGGAGCAGAGGTGCAGGGTAGTGTTTACATACGGAAGGGTACAGCACGGATTTGGGTTCCAGCCTACCGCCCTCTTCGACAGCTCCTTCTCTCAGAGGCACACGATGTAGTTAGCGCGGGTCACTTTGGAGCAGATAAGACGGCTAAGACGCTTAGTCGCACGTACTTCTGGCCAGGGCTTGCAGCAGACGTAGAGGATTATATTCGCTCGTGCGACACGTGTCAGCGTACGAAGTCCTCGCGACCGCCCTTGGCAGGTAGTTACCATGGATTTCATCATGGCTTTACCGCGCACAGTTAGGGGTCACGACGCCATCTTCGTGGTAGTGGATAAGTTTTCTCGAGCAGCGCACTTCATCCCCACGCACGGCCAGGTCACAGCAGAGGAAGCCGCGACGCTGTTCGTAGATAACGTAGTCCGACTGCACGGGGTTCCCGATTCCATCATCTCAGACCGCGACCCTCATTTCATTTCAAAGTTCTGGAAGCAGCTTTTCGCACTGTTTGGGACTCGCTTAGCCATGTCGTCAGCGTACCATCCAGAGACAGACGGACAGACTGAGCGTGTGAACCAGACACTGGAGCAGATCCTTCGCAGCATCACGATGCACGACGCAGCAGCATGGGACAAGAAGCTGAGCATGGCCGAGTTCGCATACAACAACACGCACCACTCCGCCACAGGCATGTCACCGTTCTTCGCACTGTACGGTCAGCACCCCAATGTCCCCACTCGTGTCGATCTCACACCCACTGTCTCTCGTGCGGACAACTTTCATCAGCATCTCACCTTCATTCACGACCACGTGAGGAAGCACCTTGAGCTCGCTAATGCACGCATGGCACGCACCACCAACCGCAGTCGTCGTGAGGTGTCATTCACAGTCGGTGACCGTGTCCTTCTCGATAGCCGCAACCTCCGACTGCCACAGGACGGCAAGCTTCGCCCACGCTTCATTGGTCCATTTGTCATTGAGCGCGCACTTGGTCCAGTCGCATACCGCCTTCGCCTTCCCGCTCATTTCCGCATGCACCCATCATTCCACGTGTCTCTCCTTCGGCCTTACACCGATCCCAACGCCACCTTCTCGGGTCGTGATCGCACTCCACTGCCGGTAGCTGTTGACACCGACGAGCCCGACTACCAGATCCAGCGCATCCTCAGGCACCGTCGCCGTCTCCAGGGGGGTGTCTACTTCGTTGACTTCTTGGTTCGTTGGCGTGGTTACGATGCAGCCGACGCCAGTTGGGTTCCTTCGTCCTCGCTGTCTCCTGACAACGCTTGCCTCAAAGCGTACCTTCAGTCTGCAGGCGCCGCGGACGTCGCCTCCTTGGGAGGGAGGTAGTGTTACAGGGGGTTTTACTGTTCATTCCGAACAGTACTTTTTTCCAACCCATCCAACCTTATCTTCCTAGATTTCCATGTGCCACGTGGCACTCTACTTTTCTACCTTCACAATTCCTAGTCCCACAATCTACTTTCCAACCTTGTTTCTTGCATGCTATATAAACCCCTCTTGTACTTGCCATTATCAACCAATTCTCATTCAACTCTTCTTCAATTACTCAGTAACTTCTTCGCTTCTTTCGCTAATAGTTCTTTCTCCAAAGCCTTCCGCCGCGTTTTCATCCTCGACTTAGTCGACCCCGCTATTCTTTAGCGGACTTAGGCCGTCGGGCCTAACAGTGAGAGTTACCTGTTTCGAAGACACTGTAACGCATTTCGCGATACCCATGTGCAAGCCCCTGATACGAAGCCACGTGTTCCAGAGTGTGTTGTCTCGTCTGATGTGGCACTCGTTTGAAATCCTTCGTTCAGTGTGTGATCCATCCATACAAATCTCTTTGTCCTGGTCGTCTGCATTCATTCTCACAATCCTAGATCTTTTCTCAGATCTCCATTGTCGCCTCACCTCCTGTTACCCTGCACATACCACGCGCGCCATGGCCTCCTCTATCGCACTCACGTCAGGAGCGTCTCTCCTCGCCGCTCCTCGCGTCCGCATCCAGCCAACCGTGAGGTCGCGAGTCGGTGAGTTGTGTCGCAGATTCGTCAGGACAGGCTAGGGAGTGCTGTCCGCAAATCTGGGGGCGTCTTTTTCCTCGCTGGTCGTCATGTCGTGCGGATGTCGACATCCCGTGAACATATTCATCGGTCGCACTGCGCCATGCCGCCGTGGTTGCAGGTCAACGGGTGGGTCCAGCGAGGGCTCTCTTCGGCGGTGGCAAGGACGGCGATCTGAGCGCCGATGGCGCCAAAAACGTAAGGACCATGTAACAACCGCTGAGCTGCATGTTTTCTGCAGTGCGCGCCTTTGAGTCGCACGGTGACGGATGCATTTTGAGTTGCGTGCTTTGTGCGTGCGCGGTGCAGGCGGGGCCGTTCGGCAACATGGCGAATCTGTTCGAGACGGTGCGCAAGGCGCAGCAGGTGGTGCAGGTGGAGGCCGTCAAGGTGCAGAAGGAACTCGCTGCGTAAGCCCCCCTCGCTCCCCCGCCTCCCCTCCACGCTCTTCTCACGCGCAACTCACGCCCTTGGTAGTGCTTCGTTGTTCTCGCATGGTCTTTGTGCGGTCTGGTCCTGCGAAATGTTCCCTCACATGCATCCACGTCGTAGGAATGTGTGAGTCGGAGCCACAATTGTGCCAGTCGAGGTGCGCTGTGGGCATGGATCCGCCGCAAGTTGCTGCATTCTCGCTGTGCGTGCTCCCTCCATGGCAGGGCCGAGTTCGACGGCTACTGCGAAGACGAGCTCGTTAAGGTGCGTCTGCGCTGCCCCGCTCTCTCGCGCATTTTGAACATGCACCCCATGGATTCAGATGAACACGGGGCATTTGAAAACTAACAACAAATAAAGACCTGTCACGGGGCGTTTCGGAGCTGGTCACCCATTTATTGTGAACGAATGACCGTGCATGCTGTGGCCCGTGGTCAAATCCTGTGACGCAGATTCCCCAATCACATTCCTCATTCATTTCCCTGGGTGTTCCCCACGTGTGACGCATTCGCTGACGTGTATGCATCGCAGGTGACGCTGACGGGCAACCAGGAGCCGTGCCGGTGTGAGATCACCGATGCTGCCATGGAGCTCGGAGCAGAGGTGAGAACACTGGCATGGGAGCACGGTAGTCGTGGGCGTTGGGACAGGAGAAGGGTCACCATGGGCGTTGGGATGTGAGCAGGCTAGCAGCTGCAACTGCCATGATCCACTGCCATGGAAGCAGTATCTGTGGAGCATTCTGAACCCTCATCATGTGTGCCACTGCTGTGGTGCCCCTCCCCCTCCTGCGAGCAGAAGCTGGGCGAGCTGATCACGGAGGCATACAAGGACGCACATCAGAAGAGTGTCACGGTACGTGCTTGCTCAACCCTTCGCTTGCTGCTCCTTGCTGGTATGCCTGTACAACGGGCCTTCATGTGGATTAAATCTCCCTTTTCTCTTGTCGTTCTTAAACCCTTTTCATGTGTGATGCAGGCCATGAAGCTACGCATGAAGGACCTTGCATCCAGCCTAGGCATGCCTCCCACCATGTAGAGCATCATGGAGTGTGCTCTCGACATACAAAGGTTTTGTTTGCTGTTGTAACAATCACACATTTTTGCCTACAAAATGAATTGTAACAATTTATGTAGCAATGCAGGTCTATTCATAAGATGGCAGTGGAACCTCACCAAAGCTAAGACTAAATGTTAGTTTTATTACCACCTTAAAATCAGCTCAGAATAATAGCCTTTCACTAGAACAGATATACTAGCATAAGTGGAGTTTGTGTCCTTGTTCATTGCACTAAGTATCTCACGCATACCCTCTAAGCAGCATTTTCTGGTCTGACGTATTCTGGTAATGTGGATGACGCATGCGAAAGCACGTCACGTCAGATCGGGGTGGTTCCCAGGTGTTGCCATGTGTCAAGCCGCTGGTTGGTTGATCGAAAGCTGGGACAACCTCCCGAGCCAAGCCAATACCCAAGCCTGTGCCAGGCAGGCACGGTGGCATATTCTTGCCACATTTTTTCCCCCTTCTGGCTTCGTGCGAAGCATACTTGCTGCCGCCGTACCTCCACCCAGGCCTCCCCGAAGCAACACCAAGGTTCATTTCAGCCGAACAAATTTCTAGGCTCAGGGGCATGCCGCTGTGGCTTTTGTTCCTGGCAGCGCTGAATTTCGCACATTTCCACGCCAAGTTTTGGAGGCCCTTCTCCGTTCGGCAGGAAAACTACCTTGTTCAATTACTAGCAGGCATTTCAAAATTTAGTCGACGCAAGATTGCGCTGTAAATTACCACTCGAGTGCTGCCTGGGGGCGTGGGAAGGATGGCGGTGTCGCTAGATAACGTGGAGTCGTTCCTCGCGAGCTGCAAGGAATCCGGCAATCAGGTGAGCTCCCATTCCTGTGCTGCTTTGTCGTCTGAATCAAGAGCTTGCACGAGCTCTCTCGTTTCGCCTCCCGCGTTGCTTATTCTCCGCGGCTGTGTGCGTGCCGTGGCTGTCCTCTCGTCGCAGGCGTATTCCAACTTCAAGGAGATCCTCAAGGCGCTGCGCAATCCCGAAACCCAAGCCGCCGCCAGAAGGTATGCTAGCCGTCATTGGAAGGCTGCGAGTTTCCGTTTGCTGATGGTGAAAAGTGACTACTGACACAATGCGACATCTTGAATCCGTTTAGCGGAACCACGATTCGGGGAAGTACGCCGTATGAACAATAAGTACAAAAAGCACGCTTTGAAAATACAATTGGCGAGCTACTGAGGTGACGCGACACGGTGAGAAGAGGCAAGTGCAAGGAGTCCTCCCAAATAACTGCGAACCAGATGTGTGTCCCGCGAGGCATCGAGAATTTCAATAGTCGCACTCTCTTCACTAGCGCTTCGCTACCCGCCTGGTGCGCGTGGCAGGTTCCTGGCGGCGCTGGAGGCGGCGATGCCAGCGGAGCCCGCGGAGGAGGTGATGCGCACCTTCAACTTCCGCATCCACACACTCGCGCTCTCCCCGCTCCCCTACTCCGGTGCGCTCTCCCCGCTCCCCCACTCTGGTGCGATCTCTCCGCTCCCCCCACTACGGTGCGCTTCCCCGCTCCCCCACTCTGGTGCGCTCTCCCCGCTCCCCATTTTGGTGCGCGCTCCCCGTTCCCCCACGCTGGTAACTTCTCTCAGGGTGGTGATGCACGGTTGCGGGAGTTCCAAAAACAGTAAATGGCGAGCATGAGTCCGTGCTATTCACTCCCCGTCACCTCTCTGCATTCCCTCCCTTCCGCTCTTCCCTTCCCCTCAGACCACGACCCTGCAGGCGCACATCAAAACGGAGCTGCCGGCGCCGCCACCGCCAACAGCAATGGAGCCGCAGGGGAGAGCACAAGCAGCAGTGCAGGAGGGGCCGTGCGGCAGACGCTGGCGCTGGTGGAGCTGCCGTCAATATTCATCCCCGAGGACTGGTCGTTCACCTTCTACGAGGGCCTCACCCGCCACCCCGACGCCGGGTTCACGGGGCGGGATGTGGCCGAGCTGGGCTGCGGCAATGGGTGGATCTCCATCGCCCTCGCCCACCGCTGGGCGCCCCGCAAGGTGCGCCAATGGGGGGCAAGGGAGGCCGTCATACCCCTGCTGTGGCCCTCGTCACCATCCCCATGCCTGTCTGTATACCAACACCACTCAACACCACCACCCCTCCTTTTCGCCCTCCCTCGATCCCCCTCACGTGACCTCTCCCACCGCTCCTCCTCTCCACCCGTTCTCGCCCCACCAGGTGTACGGGTTGGACATCAACCCGCGTGCAGTGCAGGTGGCGTGGATAAACCTGTACCTCAACGCGCTCTCGGCGCTGGACGGGCTGCCAGTGCGCGACAGCGAGGGCCTGTCGCTGCTGGACCGCTGCGAGTTCCTCGAATCCGACCTGCTGGGGGCGCTCTCTCAGCGCGGGGTCACTCTCGACCGCATCGTCGGCTGCATCCCCCAGGTGCTCAGGGGGAAGTTGTGGGGGGAATGTGTGAGTGCTGTTTTTGTCAGTGCATGTGAGGCATGGTTGTGACTGGCTTGTATGCTGTGTGATGTGTGCTCATTATCTGTGCTCTTCCATGTTCGCCCATTTCCAACTCTTCTCCTACTCTCTCACTTCCCCCCTCTCCCACTCGCTCACTTTATCCCTCACCCTCTTCCCCATACCTCATCCTACTCTCCTCCTGCTTCAGGTGCTAACACCGGACCCCAAGGCAGCGTTGAAGATAGTATCGGAGACGATGAGTGAGGAGTTTCTGTACTCGCTGTCCAACTACTGCAGCCTGCAGGGCTACGTCGAGGACCAGTTTGGGCTGGGGCTCATCGCGCGCGCCGTGGAGGAGAGCATCGCCGCGCTCAAGCCCGCGGGCGCGCTGCTCATGAACATGGGCGGCCGCCCCGGCATGGCCGTGTGCGAGCGCCTCTTCCGCCGCCGCGGGTTTGAGATTGAGAAGCTGTGGCAGACACGCGTGTTCCAGGCGGCTGATACGGACATACAGGCGCTGGTGGAGATTGAGAGGCAGAGCCGCCACCGCTTTGAGTTTTTTATGGGGCTTGGCATGGGCGCGGCTACTACGGGTGATGAGCCTATCAGTGCAAGGACGGCGTATGCGTTTGCCAAGGCGGGTGGGAGGATCGCGCATGGGCTCACGGTGTTTGAGTGCCGCCTGCGCCAGCCCAACCACGTGAGTCGTGTTGGGGGCGTGGGGGCGTGGCGTGCTGCTCCGCGCTGTTGCCAGCTCACGCATGCCACACATGTGATGACTGTGACTCCATTTAAGCTGCAACCATACCATGCCCAACTACTCACTCACTCACTCACTAATCCCTGTGACCAACTCCCTTGCTCTTCTTGACACCTGTCTTCATCCCACCACCAGGTGAAGGAGCTGTTCCGGTGGCTGGCGCGGCCAGAGTACGCAGCAACGCGCAGTGCAGTGGACCTCGCCTTCTCCTCCAACGCCGTCGCTGACGAGAAGACGCCCTTCCTCGCCACACTGCTGCGCACGCTGCACCACGCCTCGCTCGCCCTTTCGCCCTCCTCCGCGCTCACCCCCTCCCCCCCTGCGCTGTGCCCGTCGGACGAGCCCCCTGCGGGCACGCTGCGCTTCCGCTCCCAGGTGGCGGGCTTCCTCCGCCTCTACTTCCGCGCCCCCCTCTCCGCGCAGGTGCGTGCTTGAAAAGAAGGGAGAGTAGGAGAGATGAGTGGGGGGAGGGAACGGGGGTGGTGGGATGACAGTTGAAGGAAGTGGTGGGAGGAGAAGGGTGTTGACAAGAAGGGGGAAGGAAGGAGATGAAGAGTATGGGGATGGGGGTGGGTTGCAAAGAGATTTCTCACGTGAAGTGTATTTTCTGCCATTTTGCATGAAGCACCACGTCCTTCTCTCATCCCCCCCCCTCCTCGCATTCCCTTTTCCCTCATCCACCTCCGCTCCCTTTCCAACCTGACCTCTTGTCTCCCCTGCGCCATCAGAACGTGGTGGTGCTGCCGACGCGCGCCACAGCAGTGGAGAACATTCTGCGCCTCTACCTGCCGGGGCTCGCCCTCGTTGACGCCTCCCTCACCCGCCACCTCCCCCACTCCTGGCTCGCCTCCGCCCCACCTGATGGCCCGCCCTCCCACACCGCCACTCACGCTCAGGTAAGGCTTGAGATGCGCATGTGAGAGCATCAGCCTTTGCCAGTAAAGCACTCCCACACCTCTCCTTCCCTCCTCCCTCCCTCCCGCTCCCTGCTTCCATTCCAACCCACACTCCCCATTGCTCCTTCCCCCCACGTCCCCCTCACCCACAGTCCACGCCAGTGGTGCTGGAAGCACCGAGGCGCAGCGACCTGCTGCTGAAGCTGCTGCGGGCCCTGCGCCCGGCAGTGCTCATCGCAGCGCTGCCCGACTTTGAGATGCGCTCGCCCACGGCCGTGCACCTGCTGCTCGCCGCCGCGGCGGAGACGCACACGCGCGTGTTCTTCGACATCTCGGACCACCTGGAGCTCTCCAGTGTGCCGCCCAGCAACGGCGTGCTACAGTACCTGGCGGAGCAGGCGCTGCCGCCCCACGCGGGCGTGATCTGCGGGCTGGTGCGCAACCAGGTGTACAGCGACCTTGAGGTTGCCTTTGTGCTCGCGGAGTCGCGGGCGCTGCTGGCGTGGCTGGCGGGCATGGGCGAGCTGACCTACTTCCGGGTGGCGCGCATGAAGCAGCTCTACTATGGCTGCCTGCTCGATGAGCTGCTCTCCTTCCAGATCCCCGACCGCCACACCGTCGCTGAGGTACAGGGGGGAGGGGAGCGGGTGGGGGGAGTCATGCAGTGGTAGCAGGTCCATGCGCTTGCTTCTGGGCTGGCCTCGGTTAATTTGTTTGTACTCTGCTCGTCCATTCCATTCCAACTTGTGTTTGTTTTTCCTTGTTCCCCTTCACCCCCTGTGCCACCATAACAGAGGCCATTGCAGGACGACCCGCCCTCGTCGCCCTTCATCTCCATCCACCCCAACGCCGCGCGTGCCTTCAACCACCCCACCCTGCGCACCCTCTCCCTCACCCACGCCCTCCCATCACCCTCCCCCTCCTCCTCCACCACCACCACCACGGGTAGCACAGCAGCAGCGCATACAGGCGCAGGCCCCGCAGTGCCTGTCACGGTGCGCATGGACGTGGGGTCGGGAGCGCTGCCAGCGCCATCGGTGGTGCAGCCGCTCGTGGTGGAGGGCTTCGTGCGCCAACACCTCAGTGAAGCTGAGACGGACCCCCGCACTGAAATCCTGCACGTGCGTGTCCACTGCATCCTTCCCCATACCTCATTTCAACTCTCACGCTTCGTGCTTCCTCCACTCCCATCTGCCACCTTCCCTTATATCTCCCTCTCCTCCACTCCTCTGTTTCGCCCTCCCCCCTTCAACCCCACCAGCTGCTGCACCGTGAGTTTGGCGTGAGGGCGGAGGGCACAACAGTGGTGACGGGGGACGGCTCAAGGGTGCTGTTTGTGCGCCTCATGGCCGCCTGTGCTGCGGAGGGCGGCACAGCTGTCTTCCCAGCGGGCTCGTACGGCATGTGTCTGGCGGCGGCACGCCTGTGTGGCTGCCAGGTCAACGTGCTGCCTGTCACCTCAGCTGACACGCGCTTCGCACTCACAGCAGACCAGGTGCGCTGCCAGAGGGAGTCATGACATTATGCTTGCATGCTCTCACCCGCCCCCTTGCTCCTCACCTGTCCCCTTCCATTGCTCTCGTGCCTCTCTTCATATCCCGTCCTTCCCCTCGCCCACCTGTCGTTTCCCCCTTCAACCATCCGTCATCCCCCCTCCACCTGCTGCTGCCAGCTGGAGGCAGCGCTAGCAGGAGTGACGCGGCCGTGGCTGGTGCTGTCAGCGCCGGTGGTGAACCCCACGGGGGCGCTCTACTCGCCGTCGCACCTGGCGTCGCTGCTGGGCGTGTGCATGCGCGTGGGCGCGCGGGTCATCCTTGACTCCGCCTTCCACTCCCTCACCTTCCACGCCCACCCACACCTGTGCCTCGAACCCTACCTCGGCCGCACGGGCGATGACGTGGATGGGGAGGGGGAGGGGGAGGGGGAGAGGAGGGAGAAGGCGCACGAGCACTATGCGCTGGTGCTCATGGGGGACCTGTCGCCTCAGGTACTGCTGCCCACCCGATGCACTGCTGCCTCTCCCCACCCCGGTAGCTCGTATCGCTGCTGATTGTGACCCAGGGCACAATTCAACTCTAAAGAGAAGCTCTTCACTCCCTTTTCATTGCATTCTGAACGCACGTGCCTCGCTCATCCTTTCCCCTCTCCCTGCTTTGACCCTATTCTTTCGTGCTCTCGTCTTCCACAGCTGTCCACGCTGGGCATCCAGTTTGCCTACGTGGCATTCTGGGATTCGTCCTTCAAGGAGGCCCTCAGCACTGCGGTGCCACCTCATCGCACACTGCGCTTTGCTGTCAAGCGAATGCTATCCAACGAGGTGAGTCAGCAAAGGTGCCATTTGCAGGCTGTACGAGTCACATCCGACAGACCTCATGCCTCCTCTATCATCTCCGTGCCACACGTGCCCGTGCTGGGCCCACTGTCACCGCCATTGAGTGCAGGTGGCATCAGAGCTGGCGGGGGAGATGGCAGTGCGGCGCGAGCAGCTGCAGCAGAGGGCGGACCAGCTTTGTCAGGTGGGCTCCTGCACACCCTCTTGCCACACACCCTCTCTACCGCACTCTCTATCGTCACACTCCACCATGGCACATTGCCTTTGCCTGAAGCATCCCAATCCTCACACTTACTGTGGGCACTCCAGCAGCCAATTCACCTGCATTTCCCCTACACTCTCACGGGCAGGTTCTGTCAAGCTGTGGCTGGGACCCCATTCGCCCAGAGGGAGGAATATTCCTGGTGGCACGCCCTACGGCCTACGAGGGCAAGCAGTTCACCTACCAGCCGCCGTCAACCAATGGCGATCAAGAGCCGCAGCCCCTCAGAGTCACCCTCGATAGTGTCAATATATCCGAGGCTCTGTTCTCAACGACGGGTCTGATGATCAACAACAGCGACTGGACAAGCATTCCCGGCTACTGCCGCTTCGTGCTGCTGTTAGATGACCACCGCTTCAACCTCGCCCTGCAGTGCCTAGACAAGTTCCACAAGCTGGTTCTGGCTGGCTGATTGACAACATTGTATTTGAGTGCACTGAACTGCCCAAATATCACTTCATTGATTTGTTGCATATAAGTCGTCCCACTGTAGCTTTCCCTCAAATGAAATAGGTTATTTTTTCTTGGCCCCGAGAATGTCACGCGAAAGTGACAGGTTTCCCGCGCTCCCATCCCCCAGCACCACCCTTCCCCTTCCCTGCTGTAACGGCAAACGCGGCGTGCCTTCCTGGCATCACCCATCCCGCCCTTTCCGCCAAGCCACCCCATCCTCCTTGCTACATCAGCCGCCGCCATTTCGTTCACCGTTAGCGCTTTTAGATTCTCGCCTCGATCCAGCAAAGATGGAAAGTTCAAAGCACTACTCTCTCGTGCCCGCCTCGCACGCCCCAAGGTCGTCGCACGATCTATCCATCCATCGAGATCGCAGCCGCCACATAGCTCATCCTTGCAGAGTCTTAGCCACCATCGCCAGTCCACCCTCCCTGCTCTCCGTTCGCCTTCTCTCTGCGCGTCTCCGCTGCGATTCGCGTCACCACGTCTCAGTACCTCGCCCACACCAGCTCCCGCTCGCGACGATCCGCTTGTTTCCTGATTGAACGACGCAGTGATCGGCTAAACGCGTGTTGTCTCTCAACCACGCAACGCCGCTCGGCGCGCAGCGATGAAGCCGGCAAGAGCTTTCCTGGTGGCGTCGACGGGCGGCGCGGCGGTAATATCCATGGGCCTCTTGGCGCTCTCCATCTACCTCGCGCTCAGGTCTGCGCGCACCTTCCCCCCCTTCTGCTCCCTCCCCTTCTGCGCTTCCGCCATTGCACTCTTGCGCACACCCCAACGAACGCGCAGCGCTTTCTGCCTCACGTATTCATCCATTCCCCGCAGCACCTAACCCTTCCCGCGCCTCCCTGTCTCTGCGCCATTCTCTTCCCCCCCGCCAGCGGCAGTGGCAGCGCGTGCGCGCAGCGGCTGGACGCGCCGAGCAACGCGATGGGCGTGGTGCTGCTGACCGTGAGCATATTCGGGCTCATCGGCGCGCTCGTGCACGAGGGTTGCCTCGAGTTCCTCTTCCTCTGCTGCTCCGCCGCCCTCACACTCGCACTGTTGGCCTACTCAGGTGAGCAGCAGCGCTGGCAGAGTGCGTTGCCCTGTGTAACCGATTATGGCTGTTCATCTGATTCCCCCTGTTCGTCTACAGCCCCATCCACCCCATCTCCCTCCTGCACCCACATCTGCCCTCTCCACCCCATCCCCCCCTCTGCAGCGTTCGCCCTGGCAGTAACCGCGCCGACCCCCAGCGCCACGGTGGGCGCGGCAGGGCAGGCGGTGTATGACGTGGCGGGCTTCTCGCCGTGGCTGCAGGGGCTGGTGGCGCAGGCTGAGGCATGGGAGAAGATACAGACGTGCCTGCTCTCCAACAGCTCCTGCCCTGCCCTGCCCCCGCCGTGGGGGGGTGCTGGGGGAGAGATGGCAGGGATACACAATATCAGCAGCAACAGCAACAGCAACAGCAGCAACAGCAGCAGCATTGCAGCTGGTTCAGGCAGCTTTAACATTCAAAGCCTATCGGTCATTCAGAGTGGATGCTGCTTTCCCCCCGGCCCATGCAGCAAGAGCACAGCCGTTTCCACGTCACCTGCCCCGTCACCTGCCCCGTCACCTGCCCCGTCACCTGCCCCATCAGTCGCCCTCTCAGCAGCAGCAAGGTCTGCTCTCTCCATAACAGAGTCACTCCACGCTGACAACCATTCTCAGCCAACCATTCCCGGCTCCGCTGCTCATGCCAATTCCACAGCCTTGTTAAATTGCAGTGGTGGTGGGACGGATGGCAGTGGAAGGTGTTTCAGCTGTGACACGTGCAAGGCAGCGATGCTCAAGGTTGTGAGGGACGATCTCTCATCGGCTGGCTCTGTGTGCCTTGCTGCTGCCTGCCTGCTGGTCGTGCTGCTTGGCGTGGGAGGGTATGGCCATGCTGTGTTGAGGAGGGAGAGACGAGAAAAGGCTAGGGAAGAGATGAGGGAGGAGGATGACTATTCTTGTGGAAGCTTTTGCACAGGTGGTGGCTCGTGTGGAGACTGCTGTGAGTGTTCTCTCTTATGCTGTACTGGGCTAGTCACTTGCTTGGGTGAATGTGGTAGGTGATGGTTTTGCACCCACTATAATCTCTTGTAAATAATGCTTACATTCTTTTGTAATCATGTGGTAGGCGATGATGCTTTGTACTACATGCAAACGGCTTGGGAATGTAGTTGAATCTTCAAGCTATCATAGCGCGAACAAATCCCAGCCTGGCGTCCCTGTCGTGTAGCTCTCCCTTCCTCCTCCCTCCCTTCCTCTCGCTGCCCCAGCAGCCAAATCTTTTTCGCCTCAGGCCGCCTGCTGTGTGGACTGGCAACCACGCGCCTTGCCGCAGAGGGTGGGGAATTCATCATCGGGCCTGCCGCGGCATTTACTTCGCGCATTCCACTGCTCTGCTGCGCCATAATGTAGTTGGTAGACCGACGGTTGTTGAACGACGCACGCTGATGGTCACAGATGGTGCCACGCCATGCTCAGCGATCGGAGAGCACGGGACAAGCGATGTTGATTCAGGGGATTCCGCCTCCGATGACGCCGCCATCGCGGTCGTCATTCCCAGGAGAGTACATTCACGCCGTTCCATACATCTCAACATGCTTCCCCGCCCCAGTCCTTGCCCCTAGTCTTCAGTCTGCATTCACTAGGGCATTTATCCACTCGTCCTCTCATTCGCATTCACCACTGCGTCACTGGAACGGTTTGAAGCGATCGATTCAAGCGCCACGCCAGCTCGTAACGGCCATCGAGCCGTCTGGCTCACTGACAGTCCAAGTCTGTTGCGCCATGGTAATCGACGCACTTGGTGAACGGACGGTTCAGATTCAACGGTGCAGATCCGCGAAGCAGGCATTCGCACCACTAGCGAGCACAGTTCGCCGGTTAAGGTGTAGAGAAGAGCGCCCGACGCGGATTCGCGGTCCGGCGTCCATCGCAGGCAGTCTAGCGTTGTGATAGTCGCACGGGGCCGTGAGACGTATGCGATCAGGCCACTTAGGCACGAGCTAAAGACGGACGGTCACGATGAGGACGGAGAAGCTACTGACGGCGATCGCCAACACGCTCATCCTCTGCCTCGCAATCGCCCTCATCGTCGTATCGCTGTACGCCACGTGGAGCTCGCCGCCCAGCACGTGTCTGATCATGTACCAGACGCCGCTGATGGCGATCGGCGCGGCGCTGTTCATCGGCGCGCTAGTGGGGCTGCTGGCGCTGGTGTGCGACAACTCGTGCCTCGTGTGCTTGCAGCTCACCGTCTCCTTCACCGCCATGTGGGCTCTCCTCGCCTTCGCCAGTCAGTCCCCCTCCCTCGCACCCTTTCGCTCTTCCCCCCACCTCCTCCCCCCCCCTCTCGCTGCTCTCCTTTCCCCGCCCCCGCCCCCGCCCCTTGTTCCCTCCCGCTCCCCGTGTTTCCCCACTTATCGCGCCCCTATCCTCAAGTCGCGATTTTCTCCGCGTTCCGCCGTTCAAATGCGGGCTCGCCAGTGGTCGCTTGTCGTCGCACATTGTCGCACTGCACAGCTGCGGTATCCAATCCAATTCACACGCGAACCATGGAGCTACCACACCGCAAGCCAACAGCGAAACAAATCTTCCGCGCATCCGCCTCTTCCCCCTCCCCTCCGCGCGCCCCTCCCCTGCGCAGTATTCGCGCTGGTGGTGACGGGGCCGGGCGGCGCGTCAACGGATAAGAGTCGCGGGTTCACGGTGTTCGAGCCGTCGCAGTTCAGCGCGTGGATGCAGCAGCAGGTCGCGGGGGACCGCTGGCCGCCGCTCGCCTCGTGCCTCAGCGGCGCGCGCACGTGCGGGGACGTGCGCAACTACATCGGGCGCAACCTCAAGAAGGCGCAGCTCTCCCCGCTCGAGGTAAGGGGTGTGGTGGGGGAAGCAAAGAGATGCGGGTTTCGGGGGAGGGAGTGGGCAATGGAGCGCGAGGGGCAGTGGAAAACAGCCTTGAGCTTCCACACATGACCACCGCACCAACTGCAGAGTCAATCATTCACCGCACCATTTCCCTCAGCATTTATCTCACCACTCACCTACCACTCCTTCCTTTGCCCCCCGTCCCTCCTCTCTGCTCTGTCCCCCCACCTCTCCCTCCCCACCCGCCAATGCGCCCCTCCCGCACGCCAGGCGGGGTGCTGTCTGCCCCCGCAGGGCTGTGTGCTGGGCGGGCTGAACATGTCAGCGCCCGTCTACTACTCGTTCGCCTTCGACCTCCCCACCATGCCCAAGCTGCCCCTCCCCTCCGCCGACGCCGCGCCCGCCGTGCAGCGCAGCACGAGCAACTGCAGCGGGTTCAGTGCGGAGCCGACCCAGCTGTGCTACAGCTGCCCCTACTGCCAGGGCGGGCTGCTCACTCTGCTGCGCGACAACCTGCGCATGGAAGCCTTTGTGGCACTCGGCGTGTTCATTGCCATCTTCATGCTGCTGCTCATCGCCTGCTTCGCCTACTGTGGAGCGCGGCCTGATGATGACGAGGAGAAGGGCAAGAGCAAGAAGACGGAGATCAGCCTAGCCAGGCAGCAGACGTTTGTGATTGCGGATCAGCCGGCAGCGCAGCTGCTGTCCGTGCCGACGTTCCAGCGCACCCTCACCATGGCCGACGGCGGCGGTGGTGCCGGGCCGGCATTCACGCGCACCACCACCATGTGTGACAACAGCGGTGCCGCTGCTGCGGCTGAGTCGAACGCACAGCTGTCGCGCACGCTGACACGCATCGAGCAGGCTCTGGGGGCGGACCTGCAGCAGTTCAAACGCACCAACACCATGGCGGGTGGTGGCGGTGCTGAGCAACGGGAATTCAACCGCACACGCACGTTCCAGTCGAGTGCAGATGGATACGGTGATGGAGGGAGGGATGGAGAGGGGCAGAAGGGGCGGCTGCTGGGAAGAGTAAACACCCTGGAGTCGTCGAAGGGGTCGAGAGGGGGCGAGCATGGCACTCACCACAGCAGCACGTCCAGACGGGGTGAGGGCGGGTCAAGAGAGAGGCTTTCACACCGTGTGGATACTGGGAGGGGAAGACGGCGGGATTATGATGAGGAGAGTGCAAGAGACTCTGATGACATGTCAGAGGAGGAGGAGTACTATGAGGATGAGGATGACGTGGAGGATGTTGACCTGTACGACTAGCAACACAGCCACCACTGGGTTACCGTACTTCTAGCAGGCATTTACCGTGTTTAACAGGCACATAGCCTGGTGTTGTGATTTGTAGGGACGTTTTAATCTGACATTACATGCAGCTGTGTTCTTGCTCATCAGTCATTTTGATGATAGACTTCAACAAGAGTTGGGGGGGAGTTGGGGTGGGAGGCAACGCGAAGATGGCAATACCGTAGTATGGAAAGGAAAGGGTAGGGAGCAAGAAGGAACGCCTGGCAGTAAGCAAAAGCGGAGGTGGCAAGACGGAAGGAGTCCAGAGGGGAGTTGGGGAGGAGGTGACGAGGAGGCAAAAACAAAGCAATGTCACAATGAGGTGGGAATGAATACAGTAACCTGCTAGATACCGTACCGTGCTGTATTCTACAGGGTGTGAAACTTTACATATAGTAATGTTGCATTGCATGGTGATGCCCGATCACCAATCACATGGTACCCCTCAATTCCGCTGACCTGGCTTATGGAGCTAGAGCAGAGTGTGGGGATGTAATATGTTAATATCGTCTGATTAGGGAGCGAGGATGAGAATTACCGGTAGCTTCTTTTATAAAAACCCCTATTTCCTCCAATGGTAGGCCGTGAACTACAGCTGTTCAAATTATGACAGTAAAGTACAGTATGGTATTGTAGTTTGTAATCACAGCTCCTGCGTCGTAGCAGTGGAACTGAATTGTAGCTGGCATTAGGTAGTACACTCCTTGATGTACAATGCACTGTAATGAAACATTCCAGCCCAGCCGTGTTAAGCGGCACATTACCCCTTGATGGCGCTCTGAAGTTCAAGGCTGCTTCACGCCAGCCACACATTTATCAACAGACGATAAGAATTCAGAGGGAGCCTCACTACAGATTCGCGAATCTGGGAAGGGCCATCTGCCCAGCTTACCCAGACTGGAAAGGCGACATGTGGTGAAAAGGTTCGTGGCGCGCACCATTATACCATCCAGTAGGTTTGCTTGAAATCTTGTTGTATGGTTGTGATGCGCCGGAAAATCTGTTAGCTGAAGTCTTTCCCCCTCGTCGTCCTTGGTGCAACGTCAGCGCAAATCCGAATAAGGCTAGCCGTGTGCGGCAGTCACAGCGTGGCAGTGACGTCGACAGCATCAGTGCCCTGCCCTTTTTCACGAGGCGCTCCTGAAAGAGCTTGTTGCCAGTGGCAGCCTTCTTTGAAATAAAATCGTGACCACAAGTAACATCCACACCTAACTCAGGCTAGGGAGGATAAGGGAAAGGCTCGGCACCTCGCTTGGGGTAGAGGAAGCAGCTGCTTGGGTTCGGGTCAGCTGTTGTGTGGTTCAACGCAGGCCCGGTATCAGCCTTGTTATCCAAGCCAGAGTTCTCATTCCCGCGAGACTATTGCGCCTCAACCACAAGTTTTCATGTGGTCAGAATTGTTGAACTCGCTGATTTTGGGGAGCGAGCGGCTCGAGGTGGGGATGTTGTGGACGCTGGGGTTTGAGAAAAGCAAAAAAGTGCCCATTTCGCTGCCACGTCGGCTAAAGGCCCACTGAGGATATTTCGCTTTTTCAGCGATCACCCTCTTTGCCGTCAGATGTGAGAAGCGTGCTCTGTTGTTTCATCGTAGCCGTTGCGAAGTGTTGTGGCTGGCACTGCCCGTCTCCCCTCAGCAAGAAGCACTTCCGCTTCGTTGTCAAGTAGATGTGTTCCTGCTGCTCCTCTCCCCTCATCCAGCAGAGGCTCCTCGGGAATATCCAGGGACTCAGCAACGTCAGGAATATCTGTGGACACAAGGCTTCACAGGAGAGCTATCCTCAACCGAGGCCGTACTGATTCTTTGGGCCTGTGATGCAATATGTACCTAGATTTTAGACGTTGAGATGTTTTTTCTCCTAAGAACTTAGACGGTTTCGTAGCTTCAAGTCAGCGAAGGTTGATGGTTGCAAGATACTGTTACTTCATCACCGCATTTTAAGCTCTGGAGCTATAACGATGAACATACCTCCAGCTCTCAACCTTCAGGTTCGTAGAGTCTCCTCAGATCTGTCAGGATCAAGAACCGTCTTGATGATCTAGAACGCAGTAGAGTGTGGATTGCGAGTATTATTTCTTGCAGTACTCTTGATAATAGGATATTTGGAACCTACCATATTCAGGCATCTTTACTGTCTAGGCTAGCACAACCAAGTAGGTCACGAATGCACGAAGTCGGTCGATGTGGTTCTTTAATGACCTTGTATATCGTCGTGACGCTACGTTTCCGTCATGTCCCGTCAGAAATCCGCTGGTCAGCTGGATGGGCAGCTCGCTCATTTCAGAACACCCAACTTCCCCTGTATAATACCTCATCCGCTGACCTCGCTACCTCTTTTTGTGTCCCCTGCATGTCGTCTCCTTCCAGAGTATGCAGGATGCAGCGGCTGCCGACACAAGCGCTGCGTATTGGAGAGCCGCAGCTGCAGCCGCTGCTGCCGCGGCTGCAGCGTCGTACCTTCCGCATGGTCACGGCAACGCGCACGTGGCGTCTCAGGGGCCTGGTGCTGTGGGAATGGCCATGCACGCGCCCAACTTCCTCATGCCCCAAGCTTCCGCCAATCACATCCGGTCGCCTGCGCCGAACGCTATTGCTGCGGGGACCATGGCTGGCCTCGCCTTCTCCTCTTCCGCCGCCGCCGCCGCCGCCGCTGCGTCCGCTGGCGCGGCGATGATGCAGAACTCGCTGTCGATGCACGCGCGCTTCTTCCCGTCCCTCCACCCGCACGCGGGCCTGACGCAGCACCATCAGCTGCACCAGCTGCAGGCCGGGATTCCCGGCATGGCGACACCGCAGGTGGTGCTGGGAGCGCATTCTCAGGCGTCCTTGCCGCACATGGGGTTGCTCCCCGCCCAGCAGATGGCGATGCACGGGCAGCCCGGCATGCTCCCTGGCCTGCCGCTCGCCTCCGACCCCAACTACCTCGCCGCGCACCACCTGGCCCAGCAGCAACAGCAGCAGCAACTGCAGCTTCAGCACGAGCAGCAGCAACAACAACAGCAAGTCGCGGCCCTGACTCCCGTTCCGCCTCCGCCTTCGGTTCTACTGGGAGGCGCGCACAAGGCGCACATGCAGGAGACGCAGATTCAGAAGCAGCACGAAGCCCTTCCAGCGCAGCTGCAGCAGGTGCAGGGGTCGCAGCAACAGGAGCAACAAGCGGGCGACGCCACCAAAGGACCAGCCAACGGAGAGTGGGGCGGCAACGACGGCGACCTCGCAACCAAGGTATCTTTCGTCGATTTCTTTCGTGACTTCGTAGACAAAGATTCACTACTCAGTTCTCGGTGCCAACCGCTGGCGGTGCACATAGATGCTTGCCCCCTGTCACTCTACTAATCGCTTGCGTAGACTTTCTCCTGCATGGTGATGGGTGAACTGGAACGGTGGTGCGTGGTGCGCAGGTGCGGAAGCCGTACACGATAACGAAGCAGAGGGAGCGGTGGACGGAGGACGAGCACAACAAGTTCCTGGAAGCGCTCAAGCTCTACGGCCGCGCCTGGCGCCGCATCGAAGGCAAGCCAAGCCCTTCCGTGCCCTCGCCCCGTCCCAACTGCCTCCTTTCTCCCTCGTCTCTTGCCCTTGCCTTCCGCGTGCTGTGCCCGTGCACTTGACCTCGCCTTGCCCTCGCGTGCCCCTGGTGGCGCCGCATCTCAGCGTGTGCGCGTGCGTGCGTTGCCCATGGCAGAGCACATCGGCAGCAAGACCGCCGTGCAAATCCGCAGTCACGCGCAGAAGTTCTTTACCAAGGTACGTCCGGCACCCGCCCCCCGCCGGCTGCCTTCCGCCTTCCATCTCCCGCCTTTTCCCAACCACGCTGAGTAGCACGTGCAGTAAGCGGTTGTCCTTTTTCCGCTCTCGAGTCTTTTCTGTCACGTAGCTTCCCCAGTGCTGCCATGCCCAACGCGTTCCTCCTGTTGCTATGCGCGCCCCTTACACGCAGTTGGAGCGCGACGGCACCTCCGCCGCCACGTCGCAGATGGACATCGAGATCCCCCCGCCGCGCCCGAAGCGCAAGCCCGCGCACCCGTACCCGCGGAAGGCGGGTTCCGCCAGCAGCTCGCAGCCGCAGGCGCCACAGAGGCAGAACAGCCAGCACAGCCTGTCCAAGGCGCTACAGCAGGCGTCACCGCCGCTGCTGCCCCCTCCTCCTGCCCCTCCCAAGGCTCTTCTCCCCTGCATGAAGCAGCTCCAGCTGCCACAGCCGCCACCGCCGCCGCCTCAACCAAAGCAACGTGTGCAGCCGAACCAAGCGGCAGCAGCGCAGCAGCAGGCGGTAGCGCGCGAGAAGGGTAAGCACAAGGCCCGGCAGGCAACCTCCCAGCAGCGCGCCGAGGCAGAGGAATCAGAGCCGCAGCAGCAGCAGCAGCAGCAGCAGGCGCGGTCGAGCAGGCAGGTGTCGCAGGGTCTGAGCTCGCAGCGCACGCAGTCGCAGACGTCGCGCTCCGCGCTACCCGTGTCGTCCGACCAGTCGTGCGGCAACCAGCGCGCCGACGACGGCCTCGACTCCAAGTACGTCTCGCCCGTCCCCGCCGCCGCCGCCGCCGCCGCCGCCGCCGCCGCCGCCGCCGCCGCCGCCGCCGCCGCCGCGCCGCAGAGCTACGTCAAGGCGGAGGCCCATGCGCTGCCCGCCGTCGTCACGTCCCCCTCGCTGCTCGCCCCTCAGCGCGACGGTGCGCGCGGCGACGCGTGCGGGTCGCCGTACTCGTCGCCGCCGACGGAGGGCGACAGCGGCGCGCGGCAGTCGCCTGACCAGCGCAGCACGCTGAAGCTCTTCGGTAAAACGCTCGCCACTCCCCCCGCCATGCCTCCGCCTCCCCTACCCCCCGCTGTGCCACTGGCAACCTTGCCGCCCCCCGCTCCCCAAGGCACCAGCCCTCTTGCCAATGCACCGGGTGCCGCTGGTGCTGCACCTGCTGCCTCGGCGTCTCCCGACGGCAGCCCTGCGCGCTCGCCGCCGCTCCACCCGCCGCTGCTCTCCCTTGCAACGCCCCCCGCCGATCTTGCTCCGCCCTCTGGCGCGCAGCACTGGCGTCTCAAGCACTCAGCGGGTGAAGGCGGCGCAGGGGACACACAAAAGGCGGAATACAAGGAGCAAGAGGAGGAGGAGGAGGAGAAGGAGGAAGAGGACGACGGGGAGGAGGAGGATGAGGGGGAGGAGGAGGCGGAAGACCGTGCGCCGATGGTAACGCGGTCGCTGTCGCTTCCAGAGCCTCCAAGTGCCGCCGGCCTCGCGGAGGACTCGCAGGGGCTGTGCCTCTCAGAGAGGCCGCACGCCGCACCACCGGCGCACGGGGAGCGGATGGCGGAGGCAGGTGCAAGAGGCCGCGCGGAGCACCGGGGAATAGCGGCAGCGCAGCGCGCGATGCGGTCGTTGAGCGTGACGGGGCACGACGTGTCCACGTCAGCGTGCGGCAGCTTCTCAGAGCGCTCCGTGGTGCTCGAGTCGGGCCTCTCCGTCGAGCCCCTCCCCGCCGCCGCCCCGCTGCCGCCACCCGCGCCGCAGCGCGCGGACCGCGGAGGGGCAGCACCGGCAACGGCAGCAGACGGTTCGCGCGATGCTGCGTGCGCCTCTCCCGGCCCCGTTGCTGGGGTCCACGGCCACGCGGAGGGCGGCGATGCAGTGCGCGCTGGTGCCGCAGCCACTGGAGCAAGCCTGCCGTACATAAACCAGCTGTTCGCTTTCCCTGCCGCCCCCCCCGCCCTCAACCCCACCGCCAACGCAGCAGCAGGCACAGCCGCAGCAGGTGCAGCAGGTGGAGCAGCAGACGCTGCTGCCAGTGCTGCGGGGCTCAGTCCGCCGCAGGTGGAGAAGACGGCAGGTCCCGTAGAGGCGGGAAGAGGAGAGGGGGAAGCAGGGGCGGCAGCAGGCGAGGCAAATGAAGGGGCAGGCGGGGCTGCAATGGAGGGTGGTGTGGCGAGTCCCACACAGGGGGCGTCAGGGCCAGGCGTGGCCATGGCGACACAGTGGTCGCCGTCTCTCATGTCATCCATGGCTGGCCTCTCCATGCTCAACGCCGCCGCGGCCGCTGCGGCTGCCTCCGCCGCCTCTGCCGCCGGTGCAACCACAGCCGCCGCTCCCCATCGCCCCCCCTTTGACTACGCCGCCGCCGCTGCTGCTTCAGCGCGCGGTTCTACCACTTTCCAGGAAGCAGCAGCGTCAGCTCAGATGGCCGCAGCTGCTGCTATGGGCCTGCAGTTTCCTGGTTGCTTCATGCCAGGGAGCGAGGAGGCGGTGCAGCAGCAGCAGATGCTGTTCCCGGCGCCCTTCCCCTTCGTGGACTTCCACTCGCCTGGCTTCCATCCCATGCACCACCCGGGCTACCTGCTCTCGCCCTACCGTGCACCTGTGCCGCACCCGCACTCAGTGGCGGCGTTCCAGACGTTTGACTCGTACCTGCGCATCTACGGTCCTGCCTTCGCCTCCATGGGCGCCTCCTCCTTCGCCGCCTGGCACGCCCCCCGCGCGCAGCAGCAGCAGCAGCAGCAGCAGCAGCAGCAACCGGGCCCTCCGCAGCTGCTGCCTGGCACTCACAGTGCTGCGGCCGCCGCCACAGCGGCTGCGTCTGCTGGTATGTGGCCCAATCTACCTGGTATGGCAGCAGGCTCTGCGCCGTTCCTCGCAGCTCCAGCTCCAGCAGGTGGGGTGGGGAGCCCTGCCAAGGCTGTGGAAGCAGGGGCGGCAGGCGCGACAGGAGCAGTTGCACCTGCACCTGCAATGACACCTGCTGCCGGAGAGGGAACGAGCGCTGCTGCTGCTGCTGCTGTCCCGGTCGCCGCCAGCGCCACCCCAGTGGATGCGCAACTCGCGTCGCCGCCAGCGCCCCCGCGCACGCTGTCCGCGGGCGACGACCCCGCAGCAGCCGCCATGGCCGTGACCATGGCGGCGGCGTCCGCGTGGTGGGCGCTGCAGGGCTCCATGCCGCCCGGCGTCTTCCTCCCCATGTCGCCCGCGCAGGCCTTCCGCCCCCCCTTCAACGCCATTCCACCTCTCCCTGCTGGCGCCGCGGCCGCCGCTGCGATGCAGATTGGTTGGCCGGGCGCAGGGGAGGGGGAAGCAGGAGGTAACGGTGAAGGCGCGGGGACTGACGCGGCAGGTGCGGCTGGTGGTGGTCCTGGTGGCGCTGCTGCCGCTGCAGAGGCAGGCTTTGCCAACGCCACATTTGCAGCACCCGAGCAGCAACAGCAGCAGCTACAGCAGCAGCAGGAGGAAGCGCAGCAGCAACATGAGATGGGGGGAGCGGTGGAGACGGGGGATGACGGCGGCGAGGGGTCGTCGGGCAAGGCAATTCCCGAGGGCGCGCAGGGCAAGGCGGAGGCGAACGACACGGCGTACAGCGCGTCGCAGAGCCAGGGCGGCGACGACGCCCTCGGCGATAACGACGGCGACGATGCGCGCGCGGACGAGGAGGAGGAAGAGGAGGAGGAGGAAGAGGAGGAGGAGGAGGAGGTGGGCGGAGAGGCGGGGGAGGGGGAGGAAGAGGGGGGGTTCGTGGCGCTGGTGCGGAGCAGCGAGGTGGAGGGGCAGGACGAGCTGCGCCTCATGGCCAGCGAGCGAGAGGCGCTCGCCGCCATGCTGCAAGGCGTCAACGCTGACGTGGATGCTGACGTGGATGCTGATGTGGATGCTGACGTGGACGTTCAGGAGTCTCAGCAGACGGTGGTGGGGTCGTCGGCGCCGACAGGAGCCAGCAAGGCGCTGGACTCGAGCACGGGCGCGGCGCAGGGCGGGAGGCGCGCGTCGTGGCACGGGCAGGGGCAGGGGGACGTGCGGGAGGTGGGGAAGACGAGGAGTGCAGGGGATGCAAGGCCGCTCGCACACGGGCACCGATTACAGCAGCACGCAGGGCAGCACAGGGGCGGGGCAGGGGGCAGTGAGGGCGGGCAGGGGAGGAGTCCTGGAGAGGGCGGCATGGGGCCGTGCACTGACTCGTCGCCCTCTGTGTGGGCCTCCAACTCCACCCCGCCCCACCACGCCCACGCGCCCCGACACACCGCCAACGGTCATGGAGGGCACGGGCACACGCCGCAGAAGGAGGCGCAGAGGAGGCCGAGCGACCTGCAGAATGGCGTGCATGATGTGGCACTGGCAGTGGCCGAGCAGCAGGGTGGCAGCAACAACGCCCGCTGCTCCGCTCCCCTGCTCCCACGCAGCCCTCCCGCTACTGCCGCCGCTGCTGCTGCGGCCGCTCCACGGCCGTTCGGCTTGCCTGCCAGTCCCACGGACAAGCACCCTGGTGGTGCGGCTGGTGCTGCTGTGAATGCTGCTACTGCCATGGCTGGTGCTGCTGCTGCCACTGCCGTGTCGAAGCAGGAGAAGTGGAGACTGCCCCGCGAACGAGGACGTGCAGGACATGCACAGGCGCACGAGCATGCGCATGCACCGACGCACAACCATGGCCATGCGCATGGGCAAGCTCATGCGGAACGCAGAGGGCTGAACGCGGCTGGTGCAGCGGCGGCAGCAGCAGCGGGCGCGGCGGCGGCGGATAAGAGGGAGCAGTCGAACCTGATCCGCAAGCTGCGCTCGCTGGAGAAGTTCAAGGTCCGCCACGCCTCCGCTGCCGCCCCCACCGCCGCCACTGCCGCCGCTAGTGCCACTGGTGCTGCGACAGCGGCGGCTGACGAGGCGAGCGCGAAGATGAGCGCGTGCGGGCCTGGTATGGGCGGGGAAGGAGCGGGGTCCGGTGGGGGGGAGGGCAGTGGCGGGGATGGGAACGAGGGGGGCACCGAGGGGCTGGTTGGAGGAGGAGAGGGGAGAGTTGCTGGTGTGGAAGGCGAGGGGGCCAAAGCAGGGGGAGGCGAGGGAGCGGGAGGGAAAGAGGGCGTGGGAATGGCGGGGGAGAACGAGGGACCGCGGAGGAAGCGACTGCGCGGTCATTCCGTGAGTGGTAGCAACACTCCACCTCCCACTACCAGACAAACTCTGCCCTCCGGAGACACGCCTGTGCCGGCCGAAGGTGGCGCAGGGGAGGCAGCAGCGGCGGGAGAGGGAGCAGAGCAGCAAGGGGACGTGCGTGCCACCCCGTCGTCCTCAGGCAGTCGCGGGCAGAACGGCAACGGCGATGGCAGTGGCAGCGGCACGAAGCACGAGGGCGGAGGGGGGCCCGAGGGGTCAGGGGAGAACGGACCAAGCTCCAACTCGTCTGAATGCGGCAACGAGGCGGGCAGAGAGCGCCTGGGCGGGTCCAGTGATGGCGGCACGAGTGAGAGGGAGGCGTGCAAGCGGCGTGAGAGGGACGTGTCTGAGGAGGGTGCGACTGCCAAGAGCGCCGTGAATCGCCTACCTGACGGCGAGGCGGGTGGGGAGAGCGATGGGAAGGACGTGGAGGGCAAGGAGGAGTTGAATGCGGGGTGTGGCGAGGAGGAGGAGGAGGAAAAGGAGGATGAGAACAATGAAGAGGCAGGTGCTGAGGGGCAAGCGATGGAGGCGGAGGGGGCAGAGGAGGAGGGGCAGGCGGGTGAGATGGAGAGAGGTGGTGCGGTTGAGGAGAGGAGCGCCAAGCGGAGGAAGGTGGTGGCAGCGGGTGCAGGCGAGGAGGGGTGTTCGCGAGTGGTGGGTGGGGCGCCGCAGGGCAGCAGTGCGCCCACTGCTGGCAGCAGGTCGCACACGCCCCTCAGCCTCTCCACCCCGCATGCCCTGCTGCTGGGGCTGGACGCCCATCATGCAGTCACGCGTGCTGAGGGCCAGCAGCACAAGGAGGGCGGCGGCGACACCAACGCTGCTGACGGTCTAGAGCAGCTGCAGCTGCAGCTGCTGGGGAAGAAACGCATGGGGGCGGCAAGAGGAGCAAGCGGTGGTGGGCGCAAGGGCGAGGAGGGCGAGGAGGGGTCGCTGAATGAAGCGAGGGGCAGTGCTGCTCGGCCTGGGCGCACGGAGACGTCTCAAGTGGTGGGCGCTGGCAGGCGCGAGCTGAGAGGCGACGGCCAGTCCGTCTTCCGACCGCTGCCCACCCTCCCCCCCAAGGTGATGCCCCCACATGCCCCTCCTCGCCTCCTCCCCCCTCCCCCCTCCAAACCTGCGCCCCCCCGTGCGTGTGGGGTCGCTCAGGCGGAAGGCCCTCAGCCGGTTGCTGGTGCTGCTGGTGCTGGCGCTGGTGGCGATGGTGGTGATGGTGATGATGGTGGTGGTGAGGCCGTGAAGGGACAGGAGGGGGAGGAGGCGCGTGCGGCAGTGAGAGAAGAGGGGGAGGTTGGAGGGCAGAGGGAGCAAGGAGCGATGAGACAGCAGCGGAGAGGCAAGGAGAAGCGGGCATCGAGTGGTGGGGAGGCAGTGCGACAGGAGAGTCGCAAGCATGGGAGGGACGAGAGTAGGGAGGGAGAGGAGTGGATGACAGACAGGAAGCAGCAGCACGTGCATCAGCACCAGCACCAGCACCAACACCAACACCAGCAGCAGCAGCCGGCGACGAGCAGCGGGGCGGCGTCGTTGCTAGCAGGAATGCGCATTGTGGGACCGTCCCTGCCCATGCCGTCCTCCCCCACGGGCGACCCATCGTCGAGCAACAGTGGGGGCGCGGGCGTGCATCACCACTTCCACTACCACTACCACAGCGCCGGCAGCAGCGCCAAGCACCGTGCTGCCTCCTCCTCCAAGCAACCCACCACGGCTGCTGTTGCTGCTGCTGCTGCCATCGCAGCTGCTGCTAAGGTTGAAGCCGTCGCCTCTGCTGCTGCCCCTCCTGCCGCCCTTAGCGCTCCCTCAGGCCCGGAAACCCCGAGCCTGAGGTCCGGTGAGGGTGGGGAGGAGTATGGGGGGATGGTGCAATGCAGTAAGGGGGAGAGCAGTGATGGGGGGGAAGAAGAGGGGAGGGAGGCTGGGGGTGGAGGAAGGGGAGGGAATAGCGGTGGTGGCGAGGGCGATGCGATGGTGAATGAAGAGAGAAAATCAGCTGCCTTGCTGCAGGTGTGACCCATGTGCCCCTTCCCCTTCATTCTCTCCCGCCCCTCTCTATCGTTCCCTTCTCTCACGTCCCATGCTCCTCAAATCCCTCCCTTCCACTCATCTATCCTCTTCCCTATCCCCTGCTCCTGCTTCCCGTTCTATGCTCTCACAGGCTGACACCCGGCACCCATGGAACACTGAGAGCACTGCGGGAGTGGAGGTGCAGCGCAGGGAGCAAGGGCAGGGCGTCATATCGGCGCGGCTGGTGCACGGTGTGGGTGGTGATGAGGCGAACAAGCACGGCGAGTGGAAGCGGGGGAGGAAGCAGAATAACCACCGCTTCCAGCCGTACAGCCCCCGCAAGGAGCGCACCGAGCACCGCAGTGCCCCCGCCCATGGCGCCACTGCTGCTGGCCCACCCCCCACTGAGGCCAAGGGTGACATGGGGGAAGGGGAGGGCAAGCAGATGCAGCAGGCCTGAATCAGGGTGCTGTGCTGTGGAATTCGATTATGAAATGTGAAAGGGATGGGATGGGATGGGAAACATGGAGGGAGGTGGGTAATTGCAGGCCTGAATGTGTGCCTGTGAGAATGTGTTTGTCTAATTCCTTGATAGGGTGTTCAGGTAAAGGTTGCCTGTTTAGATGTACCACCATGTGCAGGCTACCTATCATTTAGGCCGATGTAGCATGTGTGCGTAGACATTTTTATTAATATCGTGTGTCTTTCTAATATAATGCTGGTGGGGTGCTGGCCATAAAACCCGTCATCTCATTCCATGCAGTGGTCTTGCTGCTGCAACAAACCGCACACAGCTTCAATTTGAACTGGTGGTAGTAGTAGTGCTGCAGACACTCATGCAGTGAGTAACCAAACGCTGGGTACACGGCAGGCCCTCAGATTCGTTTTTGGCCTGTCTGATTCGTCAGACTAGTACACAATTTTAGTCTGAAAATCTCAGACTTGGTTTAAAAAAAAAGGCTGAAATGTCAGAGTGTCTTAAAAAAAAAGACCGATCGTTCTAAATCAATGTATTCAACGTTTCATCGAAAGTGTATTCAATGTTTCATTCATCTGGTACCGAAACATGCTACAGTAAGGGTGTTTTTCGATAAAACATGCTCTGACAGGGCGAATATATGTGTCAGGGCGAATCTTGTGGTGCGAAAAGGCGAATGTGCAATGTCAGGGCGATTTTGCTGTGATTGGGCGAAAATTGTGGTGCTCTGACAACGCAAATCTGTTGTGTCAGGGCGATTTTGCTATGATTGGGCGAAAATCTTGTGATGTAAGGCTCGGATTTGTTATGTCAAGGCGATTTTGCGATGGCAGTGCGAATCACCAGTCAAGGACGCGTTTGTACTCTGAATGATCAGAGTACACTCTCAGAAAACTCTGAACTCTCAGAGTTAGCCTTAAAAAAAGTCTGAAAATTACAGAGTTGAGGCCCAAAAAAGTCTGATTTTATCAGAGTACACAGGAAAAAAAATCTGAAATATCAGAAAAAAAAAGCCCAAATCAGAGAAAAAAGTCTGACTTCTGAGGGCCTGGTACACGGCTGAGTCACATCATACAGTGACAAATGAAGGAATACAGACAGACAGCTTCAAGGGGCGTCTCCTGTGTCTCGTGGCAAAACCACCTCCTGAGCTGCAGGCACGGGCCGGCGCACAAAGTGGGCAAGGAACTCCACATTGCCATCCGTGCCCGTTATTGGTGATGTCATCACCCCCTGCAGCTCCATCCCATACTCCTCTATACCGCGCGTCACCCTTTCAAGCACCTGCAGGCATCAACATGCACGAAACAACACCGAAACACGAAGGGAAGAGGGCAGAACTAAAGTGGAATAAGAGGAGCACACCAAGCACTTTGGAGTCAACACAACACATGGCAGGCATGAAGGCGGTGTGATGAGGAGCACATGCAGAGCGCTGATGCCGGTGCTGACGTTGCTGGGGCAAGGGCTGGGCTGCCTGCCACGCACCTCCTGTCTGACGGCCTCGCTGCGCACAATGCCCCCGCCGCCCACCTGCCCGCGCCTTGCCTCAAACTGCGGCTTTACGAGCACTATGAGGTGCGCCCCCGGCTTCATCACCCCCACCACCGCTGGCATCACCTGCCATGCCATGGGTCACACGGCAGGCGGATGGGCAGGATGGAGATGGGGAGGATGGGGATGCATGCTGAAGAGTATAGAGGAGAGTGATGAGGGGGTTGTCAAAGGGTGCGGATGGGGAATAGAGCAGAGGAAAGGTGTAGGTTGGCGTGGGATGGGTGGGAATGAAGAGAGCAGGGAGCAGTGGGTGTAGAAGCATACGAGGAGGACGGAGATGAAGGAGAGGTCGAGGGTAACCACATCCACTTTCTCCGGCAAATCTGAGGGCGCCAAGTGGCGCAGGTTGGTCCGCTCCATGACCACCACTCTCGGGTCGATTCGGATGCGCTCACTCACCTGCCATCATGCACCACCACACTCACACGCACACAACATGCACACACTCACACTCGCACATCCATGCGCACACACATCCCATGCACAAGGAGCATGCATGCACGGACACATATATGCATGAGAATGGGGCCATGGAGAAGCGAATACCAAAGAACAGAGGCGCATAATATCCAATCGCCAACATTCCACCTGGCCGCACCCCACCTAGCCGCACCCCACCTAGCCGCACCCCACCTAGCCGCACCCCACCTGGCTGCACCCCACCTGGCTGCACCCCACCTGGCCACACCCCACCTGGCCGCACCCCACCTAGCCGCACCCCACCTAGCCGCACCCCACCTGGCTGCACCCCACCTGGCCGTACCCCACCTGGCCGCACCCCACCTGGCCGCACCCCACCTGGCCGCACCCCACCTGGCCGTACCCCACCTGGCCGTACCCCACATCGACGCCGTACACGCGGGCAGCGCCGTGCTGCAGCAGGCAGTCCGTGAAGCCCCCCGTGGACAGCCCCGCGTCCAGCACCACCGCCCCCGCCACACCCACGCTGAATTGCTGCAGCGCTCCCTCCAGCTTGTACCCCGCCCTGGGGGGAGGGGACGAGAAGAAGGGGGGGTGGGGAAAGGAGAGATGGGGAGGGGGGCAGGGAGGAGAGAGGGGGTATGAGGGAGCGCTTTCAAGGGAATGGAGTACGCTGCTGCAGTTGACTTCCAAGGTGCTGGCAGTTGACTTACAAGGTGCTGGCAGTTGACTTACAAGGTGCTGGCAGTTGACTTACAAGGTGCTGGCAGTTGACTTACAAGGTGCTGGCAGTTGACTTACAAGGTGCTGGCAGTTGACTTACAAGGTGCTGACTGCACAGTGAGCGTGGAACGCTACAAGGCATGAAGGTATGCAGCTTGAGGAGTGGTGCGGTGCGGTTGGCAGGAGAAAGAGTGGAGTGACGGCAGCAAGGGGGGGGGGGGAGGGATTGGGGGGGGGCTGACCTGCAAACGTATTTAGGCACGCGGGCCTTGATGATGACGTCAGCGTGCTCTGATACCTGCGCGCCCGCCTTGGTGACTGGATGCCCCTCCACCAGCACCTTGCCTGCCAGGGGCGGGGTAAGGAGGGAAGGGGGAGCAGGGAGCGTTATAGGGAAATGACGAGGCAGAGAAACAGGAGCAAGGGAGAGGGCGGTTGTGAGAGCACGGGACTGAAGGATGGGACTGAGGGATGGGACTGAGGGATGGGACTGAGGGATGGGACTGAGGGATGGGACTGAGAGATGGGACTGAGGGATGGGACTGAGGGATGGGACTGAGGGATGGGACTGAGGGATGGGACTGAGGGATGGGACTGAGGGATGGGACTGAGGGATGGGACTGAGGGATGGGACTGAGGGATGGGACTGAGGGATGGGACTGAGGGATGGGACTGAGGGATGGGACTGAGGGATGGGACTGAGGGATGGGACTGAGGGATGGGACTGAGGGATGGGACTGAGGGATGGGACTGAGGGATGGGACTGAGGGATGGGACTGAGGGATGGGACTGAGGGATGGGACTGAGGGATGGGACTGAGGGATGGGACTGAGGGATGGGACTGAGGGATGGGACTGAGGGATGGGACTGAGGGATGGGACTGAGGGATGGGACTGAGGGATGGGACTGAGGGATGGGACTGAGGGATGGGACTGAGGGATGGGACTGAGGGATGGGACTGAGGGATGGGACTGAGGGATGGGACTGAGGGATGGGACTGAGGGATGGGACTGAGGGATGGGACTGAGGGATGGGACTGAGGGATGGGACTGAGGGATGGGACTGAGGGATGGGACTGAGGGATGGGACTGAGGGATGGGACTGAGGGATGGGACTGAGGGATGGGACTGAGGGATGGGACTGAGGGATGGGACTGAGGGATGGGACTGAGGGATGGGACTGAGGGATGGGACTGAAGGATGGGACTGAGGGATGGGACTGAGGGATGGGACTGAGGGATGGGACTGAGGGATGGGACTGAGGGATGGGACTGAGGGATGGGACTGAGGGATGGGACTGAGGGATGGGACTGAGGGATGGGACTGAGGGATGGGACTGAGGGATGGGACTGAGGGATGGGACTGAGGGATGGGACTGAGGGATGGGACTGAGGGATGGGACTGAGGGATGGGACTGAGGGATGGGACTGAGGGATGGGACTGAGGGATGGGACTGAGGGATGGGACTGTGGGATGGGACTGAGGGATGGGACTGAGGGATGGGACTGAGGGATGGGACTGTGGGATGGGACTGTGGGATGGGACTGAGGGATGGGACTGAGGGATGGGACTGAGGGATGGGACTGAGGGATGGGACTGAGGGATGGGACTGAGGGATGGGACTGAGGGATGGGACTGAGGGATGGGACTGAGGGATGGGACTGAGGGATGGGACTGAGGGATGGGACTGAGGGATGGGACTGTGGGATGGGACTGAGGGAAGGGACTGAGGGATGGGACTGAGGGATGGGACTGAGGGATGGGACTGTGGGATGGGACTGAGGGATGGGACTGAGGGATGGGACTGAGGGATGGGACTGAGGGATGGGACTGAGGGATGGGACTGAGGGATGGGACTGAGGGATGGGACTGAGGGATGGGACTGAGGGATGGGACTGAGGGATGGGACTGAGGGATGGGACTGAGGGATGGGACTGAGGGATGGGACTGAGGGATGGGACTGAAGGATGGGACTGAGGGATGGGACTGAGGGATGGGACTGAGGGATGGGACTGAGGGATGGGACTGAGGGATGGGACTGAGGGATGGGACTGAGGGATGGGACTGAGGGATGGGACTGAGGGATGGGACTGAGGGATGGGACTGAGGGATGGGACTGAGGGATGGGACTGAGGGATGGGACTGAGGGATGGGACTGAGGGATGGGACTGAGGGATGGGACTGAGGGATGGGACTGAGGGATGGGACTGAGGGATGGGACTGAGGGATGGGACTGAGGGATGGGACTGAGGGATGGGACTGAGGGATGGGACTGAGGGATGGGACTGAGGGATGGGACTGAGGGATGGGACTGAGGGATGGGACTGAGGGATGGGACTGAGGGATGGGACTGAGGGATGGGACTGAGGGATGGGACTGAGGGATGGGACTGAGGGATGGGACTGAGGGATGGGACTGAGGGATGGGACTGTGGGATGGGACTGAGGGATGGGACTGAGGGATGGGACTGAGGGATGGGACTGAGGGATGGGACTGAGGGATGGGACTGAGGGATGGGACTGAGGGATGGGAGGGATGGGACTGAGGGATGGGACTGAGGGATGGGACTGAGGGATGGGACTGAGGGATGGGACTGAGGGATGGGACTGAGGGATGGGACTGAGGGATGGGACTGAGGGATGGGACTGAGGGATGGGACTGAGGGATGGGACTGAGGGATGGGACTGTGGGATGGGACTGAGGGATGGGACTGAGGGATGGGACTGAGGGATGGGACTGAGGGATGGGACTGAGGGATGGGACTGAGGGATGGGACTGAGGGATGGGACTGAGGGATGGGACTGAGGGATGGGACTGAGGGATGGGACTGAGGGATGGGACTGAGGGATGGGACTGAGGGATGGGACTGAGGGATGGGACTGAGGGATGGGACTGAGGGATGGGACTGAGGGATGGGACTGAGGGATGGGACTGAGGGATGGGACTGAGGGATGGGACTGAGGGATGGGACTGAGGGATGGGACTGTGGGATGGGACTGAGGGATGGGACTGAGGGATGGGACTGAGGGATGGGACTGAGGGATGGGACTGAGGGATGGGACTGAGGGATGGGACTGAGGGATGGGACTGAGGGATGGGACTGAGGGATGGGACTGAGGGATGGGACTGAGGGATGGGACTGAGGGATGGGACTGAGGGATGGGACTGAGGGATGGGACTGAGGGATGGGACTGAGGGATGGGACTGAGGGATGGGACTGTGCCTGTGCATGGTTGGTCTGCGCTTGGGCTTGGGCGTTTGGCGTTGGGCGTGGCGTGGGGCTGGGACTGTGGGAGGGGACTGTCGGATGCGGGGAAAAACTACGGAGGAATGCACAATGAATGGACTTTTGCCCCCCAACTTGCAGGATCCACGAGCGCACCTTGCAGTGGGTTGCAGCCATGGAAGAATGCACAATGAACGAACCTCCAACCCGCACCTTGCAGGATCCAGGAGCGCACTTGGCTGCGGCTGTACTGCGTCCATCGCGCCACGCACAGCTCGTCCAGCCGCACGCGCTTCCCCCGCCTCCGCGCGCCGCCCTTCCCGCCTCCCGCTCCGCCGCCTTGGCTCCGCCCCACCTCCGCCTCCGCGGCTGTATCCGCGCCAGCATCCCCGCCTTGGCGAAGTGCTGCTGCTTCCGCGAGGACTGGCGCATCTCCCCTCGCCTCCCCACGGCCCACCTCTTCTTCCCCCTTCTTCCCCTCTTTCCCTGCTTCGTCCCCCGTTGATTCCGCACCTCCGCTCACCGCCAACGCCCCTCCATCTGCCCCCGCCCGCGGAATTTCTACACGTCGACTCCGCCTACCTTCCGCGGCATGCCCCTCTGCGGGAAAACGGCACGGAGCGGAAGAGAAATTGCGAGCTTCGCGTGGGAGGATCGAGTGGCGGAGGTCGGCGGGAGGAATGGGGGAGCGCGGCGCAGAAGCGAGCAATGCGCGGAGCGTGAATGGGGGCCTCGCCGCGGTGACGGGCGCAAGATAAAGAACAGGCGGCATGGGCGATGGGTGGACGTATCTACTGGGATGGTGCCACGTGTGCTGCTGAGGATGGATGGGGAGGCTGACTGGGCGATGACACGTGCGCGACGCCGAGTGGAGGCGGCAGAGGAGCGCCTCGCGAATGGCGAGAGAATGCGGGGGCGGTGCGAGAAGTTGGAAGCGAACTAGTAGCACCATGACACGTCACGGGGAAAGGAGGTAGCGATCCCACCGTCGCAGGTGCGAGGGGATGTGAAGGGCGGGCAATAGTTTGTTCGCGAAATTGCGCGCATTTGGTATCAATAATGACCCCTGTAAAAAGGCAATGTTTGCACAGCGGGAACTTTTGTAACGAGTACAGAACAAGGGACAAACTCCAGATTCGAATTTCCTAAAGATTCCTCTCACACGAATTCGCCCCTCGCACAACACCATCCCTAGATTCACCACCATCCACCTTGTGCGGTCCCACATGCTCTGCTTCCCCAGCAAATCGCTTTCGCTCCCTCGCGCACTCGCGCCGCAGCTTCCCCCTCTCGCCTCCACAACCTCCCATCGCGTTTCCTCCCAGCGAGCAATCGTCGCTCCTCCGTCGTCCACGCGTCGCCGGGTACCAGTGCGACTCATGGCGACCGCAGCGCCGGCATCGGTGCCGGCTATCCGTCTGTCGAGCGGCTACGACATGCCGGTGGTGGGGATGGGCGTGTGGCGCGCCGACAAGGGCCGGCTCGGCGCGCTTATCAAGGACGCCGTCGCGCTCGGGTACCGCCACTTCGACTGCGCGGGTGCGTGCGTGGCGCCTTGCTGGGGGAATTCCGCGCAAGATTAGTTCGCAACAGCCGGGCTCAGCGCGCTACAGGAGAGTTTAGTCCATGTGCGGTCTAATCCTCCTCTCAAGCCGCACCTTGCTCCCTACCCCTTACCTGCCTCTTCCCCTTTCCTCCGCAATGTCCCGTCCCCCCCCACCAGCGGACTACGGCAACGAGGCGGAGGTGGGGGAGGCGCTGTCCGCGGTGCTGGAGGCGGGCGCGGTGAAGCGCGAGGAGCTGTTCATCACGAGCAAGCTGTGGAACAGCGACCACAACCACGTGCGCGCGGCGTGCGAGCAGTCGCTGAGGGACCTCCGGCTGGACTACCTGGACCTGTACCTCGTGCACTTCCCCATCGCCACCAGGCATACTGGTCCGTCCCCTGTCCCGTGCACACTAGGGTGAACCGTAGAGATTTGAGGCGCCTCAGAGGCAGTCGCTGAGGGACTTGCGCCGGCACTTCGCCCTCGCCTCCAAATACTCCGGTCCGTGCGCTGCCCCGCGCTCTAGGTCTGCTGTGTGTGAGGGTGAAGCATGTGGGGGCGGGTGGGATGATGGGCGAGTCTGGAGCCGATTTCGCCCCCCTGCAACCCAACCATGCCCTTTTTCTCTCTCTCGTGCATCTGTACATGGCATGGCGTGGCATGGCATGATGGCATGGCATGATGGCATGGCATGATGGCATGGCAGGCATAGGCAGCACGAGCAGTGCGATGGCGGACGATGGCATGTTGGACATAGACGTCACAGTGCCGCTGCACGACGTGTGGCGCCACATGGACGCACTGGTCAAGGACGGCCTCGTGCGCTCCATCGGCATCAGGTGCGCTCCATCGGCATCAGGTGCGCTCCATCGGCATCAGGTGCGCTCCATCGGCATCAGGTGCGCTCCATCGGCATAAGGTGCGCTCCATCGGCATCAGGTGCGCTCCATCGGCATCAGGTGCGCTCCATCGGCATCAGGTGCGCTCCATCGGCATCAGGTGCGCTCCATCGGCATCAGGTGCGCTCCATCGGCATCAGGTGCGCTCCATCGGCATCAGGTGCGCTCCATCGGCATCAGGTGCGCTCCATCGGCATAAGGTGCGCTCCATCGGCATCAGGTGCGCTCCATCGGCATCAGGTGCGCTCCATCGGCATCAGGTGCGCTCCATCGGCATCAGGTGCGCTCCATCGGCATCAGGTGCGCTCCATCGGCATCAGGTGCGCTCCATCGGCATCAGGTGCGCTCCATCGGCATAAGGTGCGCTCCATCGGCATCAGGTGCGCTCCATCGGCATAAGGTGCGCTCCATCGGCATCAGGTGCGCTCCATCGGCATCAGGTGCGCTCCATCGGCATCAGGTGCGCTCCATCGGCATCAGGTGCGCTCCATCGGCATCAGGTGCGCTCCATCGGCATAAGGTGCGCTCCATCGGCATCAGGTGCGCTCCATCGGCATCAGGTGCGCTCCATCGGCATCAGGTGCGCTCCATCGGCATAAGGTGCGCTCCATCGGCATCAGGTGCGCTCCATCGGCATCAGGTGCGCTCCATCGGCATCAGGTGCGCTCCATCGGCATAAGGTGCGCTCCATCGGCATCAGGTGCGCTCCATCGGCATCAGGTGCGCTCCATCGGCATCAGGTGCGCTCCATCGGCATAAGGTGCGCTCCATCGGCATCAGGTGCGCTCCATCGGCATCAGGTGCGCTCCATCGGCATCAGGTGCGCTCCATCGGCATAAGGTGCGCTCCATCGGCATCAGGTGCGCTCCATCGGCATCAGGTGCGCTCCATCGGCATCAGGTGCGCTCCATCGGCATAAGGTGCGCTCCATCGGCATCAGGTGCGCTCCATCGGCATCAGGTGCGCTCCATCGGCATCAGGTGCGCTCCATCGGCATCGGAGTTAGGTGTGCCACACGTGGCACAGCACGGGACGGCACGGCGGTGCATGGCGTGGAAAGAATCAAAGGGATGATATTTAGCTCGCTTTTAATTGTGCACCCCGCCTCGCCTGCTTCAGTCCTCATCGCTCTGACCTACGCTGCTTTTTTCCCCAATAAGGACACCACCCCTTCACCCGCTTTCCTTCCGTAACCCACCATCCCCCCTTGCCTGCCCGTCATTAACCCCCCCCAGCAACTACGACGTGTATCTGACGCGGGACTGTCTGGCGTACAGCAGCGTGGTGAGGCCAGCAGTGAACCAGGTGGAGACGCACCCCTACTTCCAGCGCGCCTCGCTGCTGCGTTTCTGCGCCAAGCACGGCGTCACCCTCACCGCCCACACGCCCCTGGGTGGCGGCGCTGCCAACGAGGAGCTCTTCAAGTCCAAGTCGCCGCTCTCTGATCCTGTTGTCCTGGTGCGCTCCCTTGCACCCATTCTGCTTTCCTGCTTGCTTCGTTCATTGTTCAATGTGCTTCTGTTTCTATCGTATCCGTATGAGGTGTTGCTCCTGCTGCTGTGCGCTTTACAATGTGTGGTGTGCTTTCGTGATCAGGAGCTGGCTGCGAAGCACAACAAGACGGCAGCGCAGGTGGTGTTGCGGTGGGGAGTGCAGCGCAACACGGTGGTGATCCCCAAGTCCAACCGAGTGGAGCGTCTGGCGGAGAACATCGCCATCTTTGACTTCCAGCTTGATGCTGACGACATGGCCAGGATGGAGGCGCTTGATGCCAAGGCTAGGAGCAACAACCCTGCTCCCTTTTGGGGCATCGATTTGTATGCGTAGGAGGAAACAATAGGTTGTGTGTGTTGAAGCTTTCCGAGGGTACGTTCTGGCTTGCGGTCCACCTTCTGGTCGGGTTAGTCGAGGCTCCGCTCCTGGTCTGCGATCACCAGGCAGCTGCCACGCCCTCATCTGGGCTTAGCAACACCCCCGTAGCATCACTGCTTGTGTGTCAGCCAAGGCAGCAGGTTGGGGTGGGAGTTGCAGGTGAGAGCAGGAGAGGTGGAGAGGCTAGGTGTATGGGGAATCCTGGTGGCATGGCGGGGACTAGGCAGTGGACCCATTAACCCTCGGCAGCACCAGTAGGCCTATATGCACACCTTCCCATCACGCCCCCTTCCTGTACCTGCAGAGGCAGGGGAAGGAAGATGGGCACTTGACATGGCAAGGCGACATTAGTGGCTCTTGGTCACTAATATTGCTCTGTGATGTTAGTTATGAGTTGTGATCCAAATCTGTGTATGAAGGAATCCAATGGCGTGGCAAATAGCACCCGTACCGATAAGATAAGGTTTCATTTCTTCTGTCTAGTTCTCACATCTCCCCATATTCCCAATCGCCAGCGTAGTCGTCGCTGTGAGCTGTAGTGAATTTATAGGAAGTCCAATCGAATCTATCCGCGATATCAGGCTTTAGGCTGGACCCCTTTCCGATCAGTTTAGGCGAAGCCTGCATTGGCCAAATTCTGGCAGTCGTCAGCACGTTGAATGACGTCAGTTGTGAATATCTCCGAGATCGACGGCTGTATACGGTCCTGATAGATCCGACGTTGGAGAAATTGCCAACCTGGGGGCGAATTGAACCTCGCTAAAAGGGCGTCTCGGTAGCACCAGTGATATTCCGTCCCCCACCTCGTACTCCCCATATAAATGCTGCTTGATTTCCATTAACAATTGCACACAAAGGCCTTTCCTTGGCTTTCGCCTTCGACTGGTCTCATTTTCCTCTCCCCCTTCTCTCGGCGCACCTCTCCCACTGTGCAAAGCTAGTCAACGTTGTCGTCTTCCCCTAATTTGCGCGCACCGCTCCATCGACGTTCAGATGGAGACCATCAGAGCGTCCGCTTTGCGCGCCCCCGCGCTCTCCCCCGCGCCAGCGCAGGAGATCAGCTCGCGCGCCTTCCGCGCCGTTCAGCCCGTCGCCACGCCCGTCACTCGACCTCGCCGCGGCGCCAGAACCGCCGCATTGCGCGGGCTGGGCGTGCGGGCAGAGAGCGGCGCGACGGAGACGGAGAGCTCCGCGACGGCGGCGGGCGGCGAGGGGAAGGCGCTGAACCGATGGAGCTCGCGCATCACGCAGCCCAAGTCGCAGGGCGCGTCGCAGGCCATGCTGTACGGCGTGGGGCTCACCGAGGCCGACATGCACAAGGCGCAGGTGCGCGCGGGGGGCGTGGGGGTTTTGAGTCGACTCAAAGCAGGGCGCGCGGGGGGGTCGGGGGAGCGAGGGGGGAGGCTGCTTCTGAGTCGACTCAAAGGCGATGCTGTACGGCGTGGGGCTCACCGACGCCGACATGCAAAAGGCGCAGGTGGGCAAGGGGGGGGGAGTCGGGGGAGCGAGGGCGGGGAGGAAGGAGTGCGGGGGAGCTTGGGGAGGGTGACATGGGCGAGGCGCAGGGAGGGAAAGGGAAGGAGGAGGAGGTGGTAGGTGAGAGCGAAGTGGTGGACGAGACGAGGAAGATGAAGAAATGGAGTGGCTCGTGGCGTCGTTCCTAAAACCCCGCTTGTCCCCCGCTCGAATCTGCGTGCAAAATTCGCCCTTCGAAACGGGCTGCTGTATTCGCGATGCGCCACCCCGTACTCTCTGAGCGCCGCGTAATGCCGGCCTAAATAACCCGCATTGCGCCCCATCGCGATCCCTATCCCCTCCCCTCTCCCATCACCCCGCTTCCGCGCGCGGCGGCAGGTGGGGAGATCATCGGTGTGGTACGAGGGCAACACGTGCAACATGCACCTGCTGCAGCTCTCCATCCCCTCCCCCAACTCGCTTCCGCCTCTCACTCCCTCCCCGCGCGGCAGGTGGGGATCTCGTCGGTGTGGTACGAGGGCAACACGTGCAACATGCACCTGCTGCACCTGGCGGAGGCCGTGAAGGGTGGCGTGACGGACGCGGGGCTGGTGGGGTTCCGCTTCAACACCATCGGCGTCAGCGACGGCATCTCCATGGGCACGGACGGCATGAGCTACAGCCTGCAGTCGCGCGACCTCATTGCGGACAGCATTGAGACGGTCATGGCGGCGCAGTGGTACGACGCCAACATCTCCATCCCCGGCTGCGATAAAAACGTGCGTCGCATCACCGGGCGGTTTGCTGCGCGGAGTGACGGGCACTTGACGGGCAGTTGACGGGCACTTGACGGGCAGTTGACGAGCATGGGGGTGATGGGCGTGGGGATAGCTGGTGATAGATTAATTGTATGTGGAGCGGTGATGGGACGAACATGTGAGTCGTGGGACTCTGTGCAACGTGAGAGTAGCGGGAAAGATATGGCAACAATAAAATGGGAATGTGGACCAGGATGATCGATGCAGTTTGGTATGGCGCAATGCGGTGCTCCCATGCGTTATGGCCTCATGCGATGTGCCCTCGCGCTCCACCCCATCATGTGCTTGCACCCATGCCCTCATGCCGTGCCATGTCCTCATGCCTGCCACCCCATCACGCCATGCGTGCCACCATGCCATGCGTGCCCCCATCAGATGCCCGGCACGGTGATGGCAATGGCGAGGCTCAACCGACCAGCCATCATGATCTATGGCGGCACCATCAAGGTACATCGCCATGTGCCATGCAACTTGCGCCAGGGCCGAGGCACTGGTCTGGTCAATTCGTGCTTCGTTTTCATGCTCTGCAACATGAGTAATGCGCCCCACCCCCCTCATCCTTCATCATTCTCACTCGCCATCTTCACCTCATCCCTCACTCCCTTCGTTAAATCGTTTCTCCCCTCCCCTGCTTCTTGAACCCCCCTTTCCTATTGCCCCTCACCACCGCACACCACCACTTCCAGCCGGGGCATTTCGAGGGAGCCACTCTTGACATCGTCAATGCCTTCCAGGTACGCCCTCCCTCCCCCTGCCTCTCCATTCTTTCCCTCTGCTCTCATGCTGAGTTAGGCCCGCCCCTTGCGCGTCTCACCCCTCTCCCCTCCTCGTCTCCCTCTCTCTGTATCCGCACCGTCCCCCTCCACCCGTCACAGAGCTACGGCGAGTATGTGGCGGGGAGGATAACGGAGGAGGAGAGGCAGCAGGTGGTGCGGCACTCGTGTCCGGGGCAGGGAGCGTGTGGAGGCATGTACACCGCCAACACCATGGCCTCCGCCATTGAGGCTCTCGGCCTCACGCTGCCCTACAGGTAATTCACCCTGCTTCCACACTTCCTCTTCCCTTCCTCCCGTTGCTGCCTCCCAACTCCACCTTCCCTATCAAAGCCCTTGAATCCCCACCAATCGTTTCCCCCTCTGCCTCTCCCCTGGTCCTTTCCTTCACCATTCCCACCTTCCGCTCCTCAGTTCGTCCATCCCAGCGGAGGACCCCTTGAAGTTGGACGAGTGTCGCCTGGCGGGGGCGGCCATCAAGCGGCTGTTGGAGCTGGACGTGAAGCCACGGGACATGATCACTCACGCGCCCTGCCTTCCCTTCTCTTCCCCCCCCACACCTCCCCCTCCCCCCTTCAGTTCCTCCATCCCAGCGGAGGACCCATTGAAGTTGGACGAGTGCCGCCTGGCGGGGGCGATTACAAACTCCACTGAAACCCCTCCCCCATGCACCCTCTGCTCCCCATGCATCCCCCCCCACCTCCCCCCCCTCAGTTCGTCCATCCCAGCGGAGGACCCCTTGAAGCTGGACGAGTGTCGCCTGGCGGGGGCGGCCATCAAGCGGCTGTTGGAGCTGGACGTGAAGCCCAGAGACATCATCACACGGGAGTCGCTCGAGAACGCCATCACCACCGTCATCGCCCTGGGTGGTTCGACTAACGCTGTGCTGCACCTCATCGCTATTGCCAGGTGTGTGTGTGTGTGGGGTGGTGGGGGGGGGGGGGTGAAGCCGCGGGACATCATCACACGGGAGGCGCTGGAGAACGCCATCACCGCCCTGGGGGGCTCGACCAACGCTGTTCTGCACCTCATCGCCATCGCCAGGTGCGATTCTGAGTGGAGGGTCAGAGGGTCGAGGCTAGGGGACGGCTGCACGGCGCCACCAGCTGCGTCAATCTCTCGCTGGAAGGATTCTACGCCTTCACTAACCATGCACCCCTCACATGCACACACCTCTCCTCTCTCTCTACCCCTCACAACCTCGTCTCTTTGCCCCTCAGCCTCCTACCCTCGACCCCCTCTGCCAAATCCTCCGTAAACTCCCGGATGCCTCAACAATGGCACCTCCTGTTCTCCTCTTCGTCCCCTCTCCTCCCCCTTCCCCCCCCTCTCATGCAGAGCCGTGGGGCTGAGCCTGACGCTGGACGACTTCCAGGCCATCAGCGACCGCGTGCCCTTCATTGCTGACCTCAAGCCCAGCGGCAAATACGTCATGGAGGACGTGCACAAGGTGGGCGCTCTGCGGTGCACAGGGGTGCAGAGGGGTGCACAGATGATAGAGCGCGTGTGGCTTGATTCCTTCATCCCATCCATGGCGCACCTGTGCATCATCACGCACCCACCAGAGCTCACCTCTGCCCGTGCTGCCCTCGTGCCTGCCGGCCCCCCTGCCTGGCCCACTGCCTGCCCTTGCTGCTCTGATGCCTGCCTGTCTGCCCTGCCCCCCGCTGTGTGCTCAGATTGGAGGAACGCCAGCAGTGCTCAAGTACCTGCTGGAGAAGGGGTTGCTGCATGGGGACTGCCTCACTGGTCAGTGCTTGCTGCTGCATGGTGCTTGGGGTGTGGCGCTTGGAGCGTGGTGCATGGGGTGTGGTGCATGGGGTGAGGTGCATGGAGCGTGGTGGATGGGGTGTAGTGCATGAGGAATGGTGCATTTCGCATGGTGATGGTATGATTTGTGGGTTGACGGGGAAATTGGGTTCGGACCTGTAGCCTATCCTCTCTCTCCACTCCCCTCTCTTTGTGTGCACGCACCGCCCATGCCCCACATCCCTCCTCTCTGCAGTGACGGGCAAGACCTTGGCAGAGAACCTGGCCTCTGTGCCGCCACTCTCCCCCGGCCAGGTACCTATGGCGCATCTCCCCTGCCCTTTCTCCCGCTCCTTCCCCATCCCTCCTTGCCCCTTCCCCATGGCTTCCTTTCCATGCTTCCACTTCCCGATGCCGCCCCCATTTGCTGCCACAGAGGCTCGAAATCAAAGGTCATGCGTCCTTACCGTCCCTTCCCCATTGTGCCCACGTGGCAGGACGTCATTCGCCCACTGGAGGAGCCCATCAAGCAGACCGGCCACTTGCAGGTGAGCCAGCTGTCATGACAGCTGGCACTCTCTCCCTTCCCAACCATCACCATGCCATCCCATACCATGCCTTCTTCACCCTCTCAGCTCATGCCCGTCGTTCGAATCCCATCCACCCATCGTCGCTCCTCTCCACTCTGCCCACGCTCTTCTCCTCTCTCCCCCATCCCTCCAACTCAACCCCCCTCCCTTACGCAGATTCTGTACGGCAATCTGGCACCAGAGGGGTCGGTGGCCAAGATCACGGGCAAGGAAGGGCTCTACTTTAAAGGTGGGAAGAAGGGGTCGTGTGGATGCCTTACTTCTACTGTCTCGCTGTCACTTGCACGGCACACTCGCTGCCAGGCACTCTCTCCTGTCATGTTGCATGCATCAAGCATATCGCCACTCACTCATGCACAATGCATAGCGTATGACCGCTCACCCATGCACTCCCCCCTCCACCCTCCACCTTCCCACCACCAGGTCCGGCGTTGGTGTTTGAGGGCGAGGAGGCCATGCTGGAGGCGCTCTCTGCCGACCCCAACAGCTTCAAGGTGCCGCCCCACCGCACCCTACCGCTCGTTACCCAACTCCCCTGCACCTCACCCCAATACACTCGCCCCACCCCGGCACCCAGTGCTTCTTGCAGCCTCCGACCGCGCCCACTGCATTGCCAGCATGCTTTCACCCTCCCATGGTCTCATAAGCTCCTCTTCCCACACGCCCCATTGACCCCGCTCCACCCACCCACCCTTTCCTCTCCCTCCCCGTCTTCCCCACCCCCCCTTCCAGGGAGCGGTGGTGGTGATACGGGGCGAGGGCCCCAAGGGAGGGCCGGGCATGCCGGAGATGCTCACGCCCACCTCTGCCATCATGGGCGCCGGGCTCGGCAAGGTGACGTAGAGGGAGGGGAGGTGGGGGGAGTATGGGAAGAGTGTGTCACATGGGTTCCCTAGAACGTGTGAGCCGGCATCCATGCAGGTATGCGGAAATGCTTGCTCACGCCCACCTCTGCCATCATGGGTGCTGGGCTCGGCAAGGTAACGGGGGGTTGTGGGAGGTGGGGCAGTATGGCGCGTGAACAGGGCATGCCTGTGGGCCTGTCAGCTTGCATGCACTCACGTTTCCACCTGTGCCATTTACCTATTACCTGTGCACCGTTTTCTCATCTGCTTACATGGCACTCTGTTTACATGGATCTCTCCCCTGCTCCCCGCCTGCTGCTCTTCCTTCTCTCCCTGTTCGTGGGTACCAGGAGGTGGCGCTGCTGACGGATGGGCGCTTCTCCGGTGGCTCGCACGGCTTTGTGGTCGGTCACATCTGCCCCGAGGCACAGGTACACGTGGCACTTCCCCATTCGCCCTGAGATGAAGGTAGACACGGCACCTTCCAATTCGCTGCCCGCTCCTGCCTCCCTCCATGTGCCCGGCATTGTGTCTAGCATAACCCCTTCTTCGCCTCTCCCACCCCTTCTCCTCTTCTCTCATCACCTCCCAACCCATCCCATCATCACTGTGTGCTGGCTCACCCTGCCTTGCCGCCTTCTATCTCTCCCTCCCTTGTGCAACAGGTGGGCGGCCCCATAGGGTTGGTGCAGAACGGGGACATGATAACAATCGACGTGGAGAAGAGGGCCATGGACATGGCTGTGAGCGACGAGGCGCTGCAGCGCCGCCGCGCCAACTGGGTGCCACCGCCCCTCAAGGCCACCCGCGGCACGCTGTACAAGGTGCGTGGGCTTGGGGAGAACGTGGCTTGGAATGGGGGAGAGATAGAGAGCTGGGGGAGGGGGGGATGGGGAGAGCGGAGTGGTGGTGGTGCTGAACGCGTATGGCATGGGAGCAGAAAGAGCACCCTGTGCGCCGACCTGTAAGAACAAGTCACTGCATGTACCAGGCTGTGCATGAGTCACTCCAGGAGTTTCTGAATGAGTCCTGCTGCACCATGTGCAATCGTTCTGCATCGCCACGTTCATGTGCACTGCCTCATATCCCCTGCTCGCGCACCTTGCCTCCCGCACCTTGCCGTGCGCCCTCTGCTGCCCACTTTCCCATCCGCACTCTACGGCAGTACATCAAGACGGTCAAGTCGGCGTCTGAAGGCTGCGTCACGGACGAGTAGGTGCAAGGATGCATCATGCACAACCATACGCTCGCGCACTGTTCCTGCGAACAAACACCAGAGCAGGCAACTTGTCACAGTTTTGCCGTGAAGTATGATGACGAGATGTCGTTTGTTTTGTCACATCAGGGAGGCTACCGTAGTTCCATTCCATGAAGAAAGTGTGCCTCATCCGTAGCTATAGTTGATAGCTGATATTTTCTCTCCTATGCAAGCAAAGCTAAGCTCGAGAAGAACCTGCGCTACAGAATCCACATACGGTGACACTACAATACATTCAAGGATTCCATTACATTTGTATCTTGTCAGGATAGTGCATGGTTGAATACTAGATGGCAGAAACTTGAATCCTCTTCGCAAAACCATGTGGATGTTGGCAACGCTAGAGACTGTTGTTACTTGGTAGTCACCGGTACTACAGGGGAGTCATGGCATAACCCCCACCATAACTAGAGGGGATCTCTTTCGTGGCACTTTCTCATGGCAGGGTGATTGCCTGCATTCATTTGATTTATATCTCATGCTCTATGGCACCATCATTCACAAACAAAACTTCATGTATCAAATTTAGAACGGAACCACACCACAGGTTACTTCGAAGCAGGCAGATACACTTTTCCACGAAGTGACACTTGAACGGCACCTCGTTCTGGATTGCACGTCAGAGCAGAAATCACATCTCGATTGCCCACAGCACATCACACGAGGTCGAGCATAGCGCCTCCGGATTGCGGGGGAGCAGCAGGGCGCTGGGGCGGTGTGAGGCCAGCACCCATGGCAGCAGCGGCAGGCGGGGCAGGGAACCCATGCGATGGTGGGGGGGCAAACCGCATGGCGCCATACACAGCGCCGCCAGCAGGGGGAGCAGCAGCCATTGCAGGCATGCCACCCATGGGAGCCATACCACCCATGGGAGCACCAGGAAAGGCGCCAAATCCTGGAGCCATGCCCACGCCCCCCACTGGCCGAGCCATTCCCATACCCATGCCTGCTCCCATGCCCCCACCCCCAATCCCCCCTCCCATGCCCATCCCCATGCCCATGCCCGTGCCTGCTCCTGCCATGCCCCCCATCCCTGTGCCGGCTGCAGTGGCTGGCGGGGCGGCAGACTGAAAGGAGCTGCCGCCCCAGTCGTCCATGTCCAGGGGCCCACTGGCCTTGGACACTCCACCCAGGGGACGCGGGACAGCACTCGTTGCTGTTGGTGCTGCTGGCGCTGCTGCTGCCATGGATCCTGGTGCTGCCTGTGGTTTTCTGGGAGGCCAGTCTGCAAACGGGTCATTCGGGTCACTGGCACCCCCTCCTGTTCCTAGACCCCCTCCCCCTGCTGCTGTGCTCCCTCCCAGGCCCCCACCCATGCCTCCTCCTAGCCCCCCACCCAGGCCTCCTCCCAGTCCTCCACTGAGCCCCGTGCTTCCTCCCAACCCCCCTCCTAGTGACCCTCCCATAGGTGCCCCCCCTAACCCCCCTCCCAAGCTGCTACTGAGACCCCCCATACCCCCACCGCCTATGCTGCTGCCGCCCCCGATACCGCCTCCACCCATCCCCCCCAACCCACCCCCGCCAATGCCCCCTATGCCGCGTGCAGGCTTGGCAGAGAGGGAAGGAAGGCTGGGGGACGGGGCAGCGGAGAGAGAGGAGGAGGCGAAGGGGTCTGACGTGCCAAAGGCAGACGAGGCGGAGGAAGCCGGGGTGGACGAGATGGGAGGGGCGGAGGCGAAGGGGTCTGAGAAGGAGGAGGGGGCGGCGGAGGGGCCGGCAGAGGAGGAGGCGGGTGCTTTGGCCCAGTCTGGTTGCGCGTCCCATGCTGGCGGCTTGGCGCTGGTGGAGGGAGCGAGGGGGGAAGGGGGTGGCGGGGGAGGGAGTGGGGGGAGGATCAGGTGAGGGATTGGGGAACGGGGAGGAGATGGGATGGGGTGGGGAGAAAGGAGGGCTAAATGAGGAAAGTGGCTGCAAGGAGGTGAGAGGCCAGCTTTGGGGGACGTTGACAGGGAGGCAGGGGGCTGACCTGTTGTCGAAGGCGACGGTGGCATCGGAGGGCGTGGAGATGCCCATGGATGCGAGGTCGAGCGATATGGAGTCGTGTTATGAGTCGACTCAGAACACGACTCTTTGAGTGGCGTTGACAGGGAGAGGGGGGAGCTGACCTGTCGTCGAAGGCGACGGTGGCGTCGGAGGGCGTGGAGATGCCCATGGATGCGAGGTCGAGCGATATGGAGTCCGCCTCACTCAATGACACGCCCCTCTTGTCCTGTATCTTGCTGCTCACCATGGGCCATGGGAGATGGGGCATAAGGCATGTGTAATGTTGTACAGGGGAGACGAAGTTCGACGAGAAGATCAGAAGAACAGACAACAGGCATAGAAATAAGGCTGAACAAGTCGTAAGAAACTATACCAAGTAAACCAGGAAAGCGAGTGAAAGAGAGTGGTGGGGGGTGGGGGGGGGCGGGAGTGGGAGGCGACGCACGTGAGTACGTCCATGATGAGCTTGAGGAAGCGCGCGAACTGCGGGCCTGTGAGCTGCTGCACCACGAGCATGGGGCACAGCAGCGGCAGTATGTGCTCCGCTGCAAACTCCATTCCGTACTGCCATGCCATGCCACGCCACACACCCATGCCATGCCACACACCATGTCGCACCACCGCACCGCACAGCACAGCACAGCACAGGACATCATGCGAGATGTGGAACAAAGACTGATGTTAGAACAATGGAGGTTGCAAGGGAAAACCGAGAGTTATGGAACAATGGAGGCAGTGGAGCAAGCACGCACAAAACAGGCACAGGGCAGTCAGCCACAAAGACCTGCCTCAGCGCCCATGTGTTTCAGCACACACCTGCCTCTGGATGATGTCAGCAATGCCGACGATGCACATGAGCGTGGGGGGCGAGCGGTCGACAGCAGCGCAGCGCACGCACGTCTGCAGAATGTCCATCACGGCTGCCTTGTCCAGGTTGGGGATCAGGTCGCCCAGACAGATCAGCGCCTGCACCCGCACCTGGTGGGGTAGAGAGGTCACAGGGGCGAGGGGGGGAGAGACGAGGAGATGGGGGAATGCACAGTTAGATGGACAAGAGGGAAGAAATTCAGTTTGTGAGAGATCAAGGGACGAGCGGCGGAGAGGAGGTTGGGGAAGAGAGAGATGGACAGAAGAGACGGCAGGGTTGGTGGCGACGTACGGCAGCGACGGAGGTGCGGAGGGCGAGCATGTGCACGCGCGGCATGATGACGGAGCGCACGATCTCAAAGTCCAGTGAGGACACCAGCACCGCTGAGCGCCGCAGCGTCTCCTCCTGCAGGCGCGGGTCCGCGTCCTCGTAGGCGCGCACTATCATGGGCAGCACGTGGGACATCAGGATGGCTGGTGACACCTGTGATGGTCTCAGAGAGAGGCACAGCACATGCGACACAGGGTGGGAGACACAGGGGGGAATCAGAACATGCGGAGAGAATTATAAACTAGTTAATGGTGAGCCAGTGGGATGAGCAGTATGGACGATGGTGAGAGCCATGCATAGCCCGTCTTCAGGTGGGAACTGCAGCCCACCTTGGAGACGATAGCAGAAAGGTGCTTGATGAAGAGCAGCAGCACATCGCCCCCCGCGTGCTCCATGGCAGGCAGCAGCAGCGTCTGCGTGCGCAGCTCAAAGTCCTGTGCGTCCTGCGCCTCTGCCACCTCACAGCAATCAATGGCGCACCTTAGAGCCATCAATCAATAGCCCACCTTGGAGACGATAGCAGGGAGATGCTTGATGAAGAGCAGAAGCACATCGCCACCGGCATGCTCCATCGCAGGTAACAGCAGCGTCTGTGTGCGCAGCTCAAAGTCCTGAGCGTCCTGTGCCTCCGCCACCTCGAGCACCCAGGGCAGCGCGAGCAGCTGCGTGGCGGGGTTCTTGAGCTCCTCCAGCAGCGCGGGCAGCACCTTGAAGCGCAGCACTCGGCTGTCAAACCCCGCCCAGATGCTGTGCAGCGACTTTAGGAACTCCACCCGCGCATTGTTGTCCCGACCCTGTGGGCATGAGGGATGAAAGTTTGTTGATTATGTAAGGCTGTTGAATGACAAGACGACCCCATACCGTTGCATAAGGGTGGCACTGACTTTGCAAGGAAGCTGTTTAAGGAAGAGAGAGAGAATCGTACAATCATTTGGTCGAGGAATCTGAGGGCTCGCAGACGCATGTCCTCTGTGAAGAACGGCGACGCTGCAGTCACACAGGTGGGGGCATGGTGGGGGGACAGGCCAAGAGTGGGTTGGGGTGGAACGGTTGATACAAGGCAATGAGGACTGGCATCCCAGTAAGTAGGCACGGACGGAAGGAAAGCAAGGTGCAAGGCATTACTGGTGAAAAGAACGAAAATGATGGGAATAACAGGGGCAGGCGGGCGGGCTGACCGGCGAACTCAGAGGCGGTGGGGCGGGCGGCGGGTTCAGGGGCGAGCATGCGGCGCAGGTCTGTCTCTAGCTCCATGGGTATGCCCGCCAGTGACTCCGTCCTCAGCCCCGCCACCCGGTTGTTGTACTGCCAGCCGTGCAGGGTGGTGGGACATAAAAGGGGAATGGGCGTGCAGGTAAGGAAGCGACATGGGCAAGTGAAGGCCAGGATTGAATGAGTTCAACACAGCAGCTCTGTGTCTCTAAGGACACATATGACCGGCTGACTTCTGCGGTCACAGCTGCTCCACTACACCCACAGCAGGCTTGCTGCACTCACGGTGCGCAGGTTGTTGTTGGCGTGTATGAGGCGGCGGCGCGCAATGAGCTGGAAGGCCAGCAGCGCGAGGGAGAAGACGTCCACACTGGCCAGCGCGTCCCTGGAGGCGGCCGCGGAGGAGCGGTTGATGGTGGGGCGCCGTGTGAGCTCCGGTGCCACGTAGTCCAGTAGGGGCTGCAGTGGTAACACCTGGTCGTCCACGTCAAAGTCCTGGTGCATAGAAGGGGGGCGCGGGGGGGGGGGGGGGAGGAAAGGTGAATGGGGGAGGTGATGGTGGGGCGGCGGGTGAGCTCCGGTGCCACGTAGTCCAGTAGGGGCTGCAACGGCAGCACCTGGTCGTCCACGTCAAAGTCCTGCTCGACGGGGGGTTGCAAGGAATTGAACGGGGAGGGTGATGGGGGGGGGAAAGGGGGGAAGGATGATGGGGGAACAAATGATGGGAGAGAGGATGATGGAGGAGAGGATGATGGGGGAGAGGATGATGGGTGCAAGCATGCTGCATGTGGTGCAAGCATCATGTGTGCGTGGATGAGTGTGCAGTGCACGCACAGTGGGTGTAAGCATGGTAGGAGCGAGCACTGACAGGGTAGAGGAAGGCAGGTTCATCGGGGTCGGGCTGTTGGTCAGCGGGCACGGAGAAGCCAAACCCGGCCAGCTTCCACCCGCCATTCTTCGTTATGAACACCGTCTGCGCAGGAGAAGGGTTGGGGAGGAGGTGCGGGATGGGAGTGTGAGGCAGGCAGCATTAGGACCACAACAGGAACACCACAGGAGATGACCTAGAGAATAACTATTCACAATGACCCCATGAGTCGCTCGTTCTGGCCTGGTACTTTTGAGAATTCTCAGAAGTTGGTACCTCGGGGTTGTGCCCGTACCTCAGGGTTGAGCCCGTACCTCGGGGTTGAGCCCGTACCTCAGGTTTGAGCCCGTACCTCAGGGTTGAGCCCGTACCTCAGGGTTGTGCCCGTACCTCAGGGTTGAGCCCGTACCTCAGGGTTGAGCCCGTACCTCGGGGTTGAGCCTGTACCTCGGGGTTGAGCCCGTACCTCGGGGTTGAGCCCGTACCTCAGGGTTGAGCCCGTACCTCGGGGTTGAGCCCGTACCTCGGGGTTGAGCCCGTACCTCGGGGTTGAGCCCGTACCTCAGGGTTGTGCCCGTACCTCAGGGTTGAGCCCGTACCTCAGGGTTGAGCCCGTACCTCGGGGTTGAGCCCGTACCTCGGGGTTGAGCCCGTACCTCGGGGTTGAGCCCGTACCTCGGGGTTGATGCCGCGGTGGATGATGTTGGCATTGCGGTGGATGAAGCTGAGCGTCTCCGCCAGCTGCATCAGCCCGTGCTTGATCTCCAGCTGCCCCAGCTCCTGTTGACTCCTCCGCGCCCATCGCCATGCACGAACACACGCAGTCACGGATACGTCAGAGGCAGACACACGGCAGCGGCAGGAAAAATCGCGAGGAGCAACATCTGAATTGTAACATTACGCCCTTTCTCTCCCACTCTCTCCCACCCGCCCTCCAATCCCCGGCAAGCTACCACGCGACGACCCCCCATCTCTCACCAAAATTGAACTTCTTTAAACAACCCCCCGCCACCAACCTCTCCCCCCTTTTTCCCCTTCCCCCCCTCCCTCCCCCCAATTCCTCCCTTCCCCCAATTCCGCACCAGTTTTTCGAGCTCATGGGGGATGGTGGCGAGGTTTTCAAGGTTGCCGAGGGCGTTGCCCAGCGAGGAGAAGACGGGTTCCGTGACCATGGCCATGGCCCACTTGCTCTCGTCCAGCGCCTCCACCACGCGCACGATGCCCCGGAACGAGCCCTCATTCAACTTCTTCAAACAACCCCCCGGCCCCCCCACCACCCCCACCTCCCTTCAACCCTCCCCATTCCGCACCAGTTTTTCGAGCTCATGGGGGATGGTGGCGAGGTTCTCGAGGTTGCCGAGGGCGTTCCCAAGGGACGAGAAGACGGGTTCGGTGACCATGGCCATGGCCCACTTGCTCTCGTCCAGCGCCTCCACCACGCGCACGATGCCCGGGTGCCGCAGCTTCTGCAGCACCTTCGCGTCCGCGCGGAAGATCTCCAGCAGCCGGTCCTCCGCCGCCTTGCTGCGCGCGGGAGCGGGGGAACAGCGCGGAGTGCGCGCGAGGCGCGGGGGAAAAGAAGCCACGCAGCGCAGATACGGGAAAGGGATCGCTGGGAATGCGCGTCCGATTTCGGACGGAGCAACGGAAAGCGGAATGCGTTTTTACAATCGCGGACGCATCTACCCTGCTCCACTGCTCCCCTGTTCTCCCCCTCCCCCCTCCCCCCGCCCCACGGACCTCATGCCGCGGTGCGAGCGCTCCTCGGAGAGCTCCTTCTTGTCGAGGAACCACACGCACACCTCCGACGTCACCGTCTGCTGCGCCTTGCTCTTGGGCGTCGCGCGGTACAGCTTCCACAGCATGCCCGGCCCGCCCGACGCGATCTGCGCATTCACCACGGGGGACACGCACGGCATTGCCACGCGGATTCGTCACGCCAACTCGTCGACCTCCGCTTGAGCATCGCTTATCGTACTGCCGTAGGCACTCATAAAAAAATCGGTGGTTTCCATCGGCGGTGATAAATGGTTCGCGCTTCGGTTACAGGGAAGGAACGGCTGCGATTGAATAAAGCCTCAAGACGGATCAAGGGCGGGGAACGCACCTGCTCGCCGAGGTCATAGTCGGCCAACGCCTTGGGCCCTGTCACCTCCTGAACCGTGCTCTGACACGCACAAGCACAGGCAACCGCGAAACGCAGGTGGATACTCAGACATTGATACCGCAGTATCTAACCCTAATTGCATCGATGCTGACGTCAGAACTATGGCCAGGCCCGAAATATGAAGAAGCAGAGAAGGTTATACCGTAGGGGACGGAAGGCACAACACACCTGGACGGTTTTCTCTATCGAAGCGGCGGTGCTCGCTAGAATTTTAGAAAACCCCGACAACATCTTGGCATATAGATTCCGATCGCCGTTACTTCAACTGTATGATCTAGCTAGAACGGGATTATTCCTACTTAGCAGAAGTTCCTGTCCATTGAGTCCTTGAGTTCACGAATCGCTAACTGTGAGCAACTACGAATCAAGCATCCATTTATCAAAAGCATCTAATGATCTAATCCGTACTACCAGCTGGTGAAATGGTAGGCATAAATGACAATGCTGCTGGCCAACTCCCTTCAGTGTGCTGCACAGACCACCTACCCAGGAGCTGTCCCATGGAAAACACCATGGAAATGGCACGCACTAGTTTGGCCGCCTGAAAGCTACTATTCCCGCCGAAACCAATGTTTCATACTCGATACTAATGTGCTATTACAGGTATTTTCCCGAATGCAATTTTTGATACGCAAACAAACAGACACTCAAACTCAGAAATTGAAGACTTTTGGTTATACTAAAGAATCAGCACCCACAGAAGAAACCGAAGCTGCTCGTTTGTGGCACTTTACGTTCGGGCCTGACCAAGCTGGTGATGCTCGTTTCCCGACTGACAGAAGCCACGTGGATGACCATTTGTTGGTGCAGATTTGTTTGTTGGAAGAACGAGCTTGGTTCGAACGGGCTGGGTCTGTGTTTGCAGAGACAATAAGTATAACAATTCCACCTCAATCACGTACAAATGGGAAGCCCAATTTCAAAGCCAGCCCTTCTGACAAGCGGGGACCACACGATCTGCGAGACTCTACACACACAAGTAACAGTGGCGAAGAGATTCTTGAGTATTTCGTGACTCGATTGCGATGCACCGAGGACCATTGGATCATATGTTACACCAGGTTCTTCTCAAGCTGTTCGTCGAAGCCTCCTCCCGCCCTGCAAAAGCGCCGCACATCCCAGCTTGTCAGATTTTCTAACCAAATCAGCTCATCCCGCCAGACCCCTCAGCATCCTCACAGTCACACAACGGTTAACAATCTCCCAAGCCTCTGCAGTACGATGCTGCACCAAACCGCTCGTGCCTGGGCTAGGAGGTTCGTTTCTGTCGGCGGATGTACGCCAACCAGTTGTTTTGCCACGCGAGGGTTCGAACCTTTTTTTTTTTTTGCCGCGCTCGCGGTTGACCATCCATTAGGTTGGTATTGTTGGAGCGGTTGGGCGAACCAAGGTACGCCTTGGTGGTTCCTCTCCAGTACCACGCGAGGCCATTCCCAACTCGTTCTCACGCATTTTCGAGCGCCACCACCTCGTTTCTGAATCCCAACCTCATTTGCCTCATCTCAGCAGAATTCACCAGCCTAATCGTCTCGAAACTCAACATTTCCAGCCTTTCCAGCTCCAAATGCCAATGCTACTAGTTACGTCCAAGCCAAATGCCTCTACTGATTTTCTGTCCCAGCTTGATTCAGGATGCGAGTGTCCCCGCAGTTAATTCAGAAAGTGAAAGAGTGTCTCGTTCAGCAGCGCGAAATGGAATCAAGCATATGCAGAGCATAGTATTTTGGAACGACGACTCCGAGCTTCAGAATCAAGCTTTCGCGATTTTCCGAAGGAATGAGCTGTTGTGCGAAAGGCGGAAATGGGAAGCGCGGTACGATTTCGTGTAGGAGTCTGTGTTATCACGGAGCATCGTCAACATCGAAGCAGACCGAAAACAAACGAACATGGACGAACATTTGGAAGCGCGAGCATGGAAAGGCGGCCATTGGTGTTGGAATATGCTCACACGCTTGGTGAGTGTTCACACGCATCCGTACAATAATTCTCTCACATGCACTGTCAGCTTTTATTTCAGCGTCGGAACTTCACTCACGTCTTTCTGTGACTCGCCTTGCGGTGCAGGCTACCTCTACAATGCGACGATGCGTGTGCACGCCTGGCAGCACCAACTCCGCTAGTGCCTGAACGGCCTTGCTGCAGTCGCTGACGAAATTGCTGCAGTCGCTGACGAAATTGCTGCATCCGCGGACGAAATTGCTGCATTCGCGGACGAAATTGCTGAAGTCGCTGACGAAATTGCTGCAGTCGCTGACGAAATTGCTGCAGTCGCTGGCGAAATTGCTGCAGTCACTGGCAAAATTGCTGCAGTCGCTGGCGAAATTGCTGCATCCGCGGGCGAAATTGCTGCATTGCGGACGAAATTGCTGCTGTGGCTGTGGCTGCATCTAGAAGGTTTCAGCTGCATCCAAGAAAGGCAGTAACGGGGCTTCACCTTTCCAGCTAAGTGTTTCCTCCTCCATCGCTGTTACCTTTTGTTTTCAGAAGCTCATCATTCAGCTTCATGTGTTAGCCTCCAAAATTCGCCACTGGTTGGGTGTGATCACATGCCACAGACCCCCTTATTTCAGGTATCCACTCCAGGTGCAGGTACCCCTCAGGTTTTATTTTAGAGCCCCTGCAGGTTCCCTTGGGGTCTGTGGCGTGTGGCCATGCCTCCTCCAGTGGCGCATCCCCTCTTCTTCCACTCGTAGCAGTTTCCTGAGTGTCGCTTGTACTGGCGCCATCCCAAGCAACCTGACCTCTGCCGTGTGTGTGTGTGGCAGGTGGAGGGGAGGGGCGTGGAGGTCAGCACCCACATTGCCCCACACCCTTCGCCGGTGGTCTCGCACAGATGCACACGGGAAGGCGCATGGAGGTTGGCATCAGCTCTGAAACTTACCAGCTAAGTGCTCTCTCCTCCCTGGAACCTGGCCTTTCTGCTGTTCATTGCTGAACATGACTTCGCTTGTTTCCGCATCTCCTTTTCTCTTGAAAATCTCGCCACTGGTTCGGCCTAGCTCGCAAGCCATAGACCCCTCCCCCATACTCCAGGTAACTCACTCAGGTTCAGCCTCCCTATTGTAATACAGCCCCCCCAGGTTCAGCCTCTCAGGTGCCCTTGGGGGTCTATGGCTTGTGGCGACACCTCCACCAGTGGCTCCTCCCCTCACTTGTGTGCGGAATGCGCTGTCTCTGCTGCAGTGTCACCCTTTATCTCCTTTTACTCCACTCACTAGCTCTGCTTGTGTGCATTGCAGGTGGAGGGGAGGGGCGTGGGGGTCAACACCGAGGCTACCTCGCGTCCCTCCCCGGTGGCCGTGCAGGGACGCACACGGGGAGGCTGGGAGGAGGAAGGCCGGCAACAGCTTGCATCTTTCCAGCTAAGTACTTCTCCTTCCCGGCCCTGCCTTTTGCTGCTCATTGTTGTAATTCTCTCTGCTTGTTCTGCATGTGCTTCAGTTTGTTCTTTGAAATCTCGCCACTGGTTGGGCCCGCTCTCAAGCTTAAGACCCCTCCCCCACAGTCCAGGTTTGCCCTCAGGTTCCCCTTGTCTGGGTTCTTACAGCCCCCCAGCTTCAGCCTCTCAGGTGCCCCTGGGGGTCTACGGCTTGTTGCGGCGCCTCCACCAGTGGCCCCTCCCCTCACTTCTCTTGTGGAATGTCCTGTCTCTGCTGCAACACCACCGTTCATCCCCTCGCTCTCCACTCACCAGCTCTGCTTGTGTGCATTGCAGGTGGAGGGGAGGGGCGTGGGGGTCAACACCGACGCTACCTCGCGTCCCTCCCCGGTGGCCGTGCAGGGACGCACACGGGGAGGCTGGGAGGGCGACAGCACTGCAGCTTCCACGAGGGAGAGTATGGGTTGGGCTTGGCCTCTTAAGGTGCGTGGGTTTCCTCCCTGGCCTCATCTCTCTCCCCCTCAAGTTCATTGGTGATGCTGATCTTTCTTCACGTTTTACACGCTTGTATCTGTCACGTTCAGTAATTTCTTCCTCTCTATCTTTCTGCCAGCTCACCAATCCTCCCCTCCTGTCCCTCCTCTCCTGTTCCCTCCTCCCTCCTCTCTCCCCGCCACCAGGTGAATCAGCATCAATGGAAGCGTGCAGCAGAGGTAGCTGAGTAGCAGACCGGCAGCAGCAGTTGCAGCAGCAGAATCAGCGGTGGAGGCTCGGAGGGCGACAGTACTGCAGCTGCCACGAGGGAGAGTATGGGGAAGGGCTTGGCCTCTCAAGGTACGTTAGCTTCCTCCCTGGCCTCGTCTCTCTCCCGCTCAAGTTCATTGTTGGTGTTGATCTCTCTTCTCGTTCTGCATGCTCGTCTCTGTCTTCTTCAGTTTCGTCTTCAGTGCCTTCCTTAAAATTCACCAATTCCCCTGCCCCTCATCTCCTGTGCCCCCCCTCCCCTCTCTCTCTCTCCCCAGCACCAGTGTCAAGGAAGGATGCAGCAGAGGTAGCTGAAAAGCAGACTGGCAGCAGCAGTTGCAGCAGCAGCGGTCCCAGCGGTCACAGAGGGTGGGGGCTGGAAGGGCGACAGCAGCTGCCACGAGGGAGAGTATGGGGATGGGCTTGGCCACTCAAGGTACGTTAGCTTCCTCCCTGGCTTCATCTCTTTCCCCCTCAAGTTCATTGCTGCTGCATCTGTCTTCACGTTTTGCTTGCTCGTACTTATTTTGTTCAGTTTCGCTTCCTGTCTGTCTTGACACTCACTTCTGCTCCTGCCCCTCCGCTCCTGTGCCCCCCTCCCCTCTCACTCTCCCCGCCTCCAGGTCACTCAGAATGAAGCGAAGAGTGCAGCAGATGTAGCTGAGTAGCAGACCGGCAGCAGCAGTTGCAGCAGCAGAAGCAGACGTGCAGCGGTGGGGGGTGGAGGGTTAGAGGGCAGGCTAGATAGGATAGGAGAAGTCGTGAGCGAGGTGTGGTAAGGTGAGGTACGGTACAGGTAAGGTATGGTAAGGTATAAGGTAAGGTATGTTTTCATCCCTTCCCTCTCTTTCTCCTCCCTCTTCCTCTTGCAGGCTGAGGGTGGGAGCACTGCAGGAAGGCCAGGAGAGTTAAGGCCAGCTTCTCACTTCCCTCCTCGTCCTCCTCTTCCCTTCCCTCCCACCAGCACCCTTCCTGGACCACAGTGGAGACCCTCTCCCCCTTGATTCCCTCCTCCTCACTTCCCAGCAGCCTGAGGGTGGGAGCACTGGAGCAAGGGCAGGAGAGTGAAGGACAGCCTTTTACTCACCTCCTCCTCTCTCCCTTTTCC